CGGGTCTTCGTGTAAAAACCTGTGACAATAAGTCTGCCTGTCTCTTTCTCTCATGTCTGGTTCTTGGAAATAGATGTTTTAAGTGCCCCTGGTGTGCAAAGCATTGTAGTCAAATCTGTCATGGGACCTGGGGTTCCATTCTGGAGGGGTTACCCACCCACCCAGTGAATCACAACCATGAACACACTTAGCAATTCACATGCGCTTCATATACACCAGGCACGGTACTAGGTGCTTGATGTGGCTTATGGTACGAAACACAATGTGCCACATGCTACTTTGCAAAGGAGGGAAAATGAGGCTCAGCGTGCGTCTCAGAGCCACCTTGCCGGTGACTGTGGAAGCCCACAGCAGGGGCCGCTGCGTCGAGCTAGCATTGAACTGGGCGTGGATGGAGCATCATGTTGCATTCAGGATTTTTTTTCTTTGTGATAAGAACAGATTCTGATTCTGTACAATTTTAGAATATTTGCTGCCTTGGGTAGCTGACGCTCAAGGCAGGAAACATGACTGTCTGGCCTTCTAAAGTCGAATCGAGATGGGAAATGTTTCACCCTGCTGAGCTGCCGAGCAGACGGTGTGTGATTAATGTTATCCACCAGCTCTGAGAGCTACGGGAGGACAATTCCAGAGCGAGGGAGGCGACGACATGCGCTGCCCAGTTATAGTGCGCTTGGCACTTGGGGACGTGAACATGACGTCTCTCAGCAGTTGAGATTTCCTGTTTTCAAGATAAAAGACGTACAGGGATTTGTTAGAAAACTTCCAGAATGCTTCTGTGAGGCCATCCCGTGCGGGTTAGAAAAACACTTAAAAGTTTCATTGCAAGTGAATTTGAACCATCTGGATAGTTTTTCTTAGTGTGCGCATCAGCCTAAGAGAGGGTCACCAGATGATCTAGAAAAGATTTATACAAGATGTTCGACAGTACGTTTCACCCAGGATGGCAAAGAAGGGACACTTTTTTTAAATACTTGAGAGACAGAGGACTGTGTTTAGAGGGATGGTGTCATCACCATCAGGGTCAGTGGCTGCCGTGCCGCCGGGGACCAGTTCTCCGGGGCAGCTGTGGGTGGCAGGTGTTCTCTGGTTCACTTGCTCCCTGCTGAGCGCTCTGTCCAGTCCTTACACACACGCTCAGTGGCCGCTGCGCCAGGCGTTGTGCCCACGTTCTGAACGGGGCCTGTCCAGCCCAGAGCCCTGGGTTCACGTTCATTAGCAGAAGACTTAGGCGGCTGGCAAGATGGCACTTGCGGTGACGAGCTGGCATAAGTCAATGGGCCTTGGCACCGGAGTGGTTGAATTCAGGTCCCTGCTTGGCACTTGGTAGCTGTGTGGCCTTGGGCCAGTCCGTTCTCTGCTTTGCACCTCAGTTCTCACAGGGATTATGACGTCTATCCCATTTACCTGGGAGCCGTTTAAGGACAATTAAAATAAACCACATGAGCGCTGATAACAAACTGTGAGGTTCTATGGCAGGTGGGCACTGTGGTGGGTTGTCAGGGCCAGCTCAGCCCTGTTCTCACAGGCGGCCGACAGGCCTGGCTCGCTCGCCAGCCTGGGCAGAAGTTGCTTCTCACCCCTGCGTCGCTGAGGTTCCCTGGCGGTCTGAGCTTTTCATGAAAGTAAAATAAGCATCACACCTTATTCACTGAGATCATTTCACCTCGGATGGAGAGGTTAGACGGCAGGCTGGCGCTGGGGGACAGCCCCCACCATGCTCGGTCCCTGCCTCGGGGTGGCGCGGCTCCTGAGTAGTGGCCCAGCCTGGGTCAGCACAGGGCCACAGGTGGGCACCTCAGGCAAACGCTTGTGCCGTCTGGAGCCGAGCTCCTGCTCTCGGAACCTCAGCCCTCCCTCCCGCTGATGGACCCATCACTTTAGGGAATTCCAAGGGCCTTTTTCCTTAGGCCTGCTTTATTCAGGATTTCACTGTTGAGTGTCAGGGGACACGGAAGCAGGGACCTGCAGCACTCCCCCGGGCCTGGTGACGACAGCGAGCTCTCCGGGCAGGCCGCCCCGCGCGGCGCATGGCGCAAGGCCCCCAGGACTGGGGCAGAATCTCTGGGCAGGGGGCGCCGCTTCCGTGCAATCATTTATTTTGTAGCTGACTCCTGTGAGACCCATGTGCCTGTGACCTGTAGCTTTGCCCTTGGCTGGAGAGGACCCGGAGCCCCTGTGCCCACGGGCTCTTTCTGCAGCAGAGGCGCCGAGGGCTCCAGACCGAGCGGTGTGGAGGGCGGCACCGAGGCCAGCCAGGACGATGGCAGCACCGTGGACATCTGTCCCACTCACCGCTGCCCTGAGGGAAGAGGCCGTGGCAGCCATGTTGCCTGGGTGGTGACCCCGCCAGTCCCCTCCTACCCAGGAGAGCAAGCTGTGCACGTGGCCTGAGGCAGCCTGTGCAGAAGTTGCTTTTCACTCCCATGTCGCTGAGGTTCCCTGGCGGTCTGAGCTTTTCACAGAATTAAAATAAGCATCACACCTTATTCACAGACATCATTTCACTTCATAGAATATTTAAAAATATAGCCCTGATCCGGCCCCACAACAAACACCCTGTGAAATCAAACCTCCACCTCAGGTTCACCCTCAGAACCACAGATAGTAGGTGACCTTGCTCACGAGAAAGTCTTCTGTTAAAACTGAGTTTTTAAAATATGTGGTAAGAGTTTGTACTGGAAGCACATGGAGGAAAAAATGACTTAAGAGAGGCAAAGAGAATGAAGCATAGTTTTTTGCTTCCTTTAAATTTTTTTTATCTCAACTGCTATTCCCATGCTCATGGCTCCCAGAGAGCCATTTCATAGTGTTGCATAAATCTCAAAAGGACACAGCACTATTCCTGATAAATTAAACTTGTTTATGTATTTTGTTCCCATGAACAAAAATCTGCTAACTTTAAAAAACAAACTAAAGCTTCATGATTGATAAATAAGACTGCTGCTCCTTGTCCAGATTTTGCTTTTCATAAGTAGTTTATACAAGACAGTTTCCCCAGGATTTTTTTCAAAAAGATTTCATTTACTTATTTTTAGAGAGGGAAAGGGAGGGAGAGAAACATCGATGATTGATTGACTCTCACACGCCCCCAACCAGGAACTGAGCCCACAACCCAGGCACTTGCTCTGACTAGGAATCGAACCGGCGACTTTTTTGGTTTGCCGGATGACACCCAATCCACTGAGCCACCCCAGCCAGGACTTTTTAAAAAAGACTATTCTTACGCTAGCCTCACGCAAGGTCTGTTCAGCAGTGGCACACGCCGATGAAGGAAATTCATGCGTTCTCCTGTGACAGAGTCACCCATGGATAACACAAACACTTATGATGTGACTGCTTGGACATCACATTGTTATGCGTATGAAGCAAGTGACCCCCAACAGGAGCTCATAGAACAATAAACTTTTAGGATTAATGCTGGAACCCACAGGACTTACCAAGTTACAGGATCTACATGGGAACTCCTACGTTGACTCAACACTGTGCCATTAGCAAGTTGGGCTGTTAGCACTGAACACTTCAGGACATTTGTTTTCTCTTGAACTACGTGACTTAGCGTATCTGTCATTTCTATAATCACAGAGTGGTCCTCAATTTTTATAGAGGCCAGACCTTGATACTGAGAGCTTACCTGGTAACCTGGAATAAAACTGAGATCAGTTCAGCACAACAATGAAAGTAGTTACACTCACAACCCCAGGTGCGAGGAGAAGTTATATATAATTAGTCCATTGGCTACTGTATTGAAGTCCAGGCAAAAAATCTTACTAAGTACTACCTTGCATAGGGGGAAAATACTTGTTGGATCACTGCATGGTATTCTCTGGTAGCCTTTAGGAATTGGGTGCCTAATAACATGTTAGGTGACTCCAACTAATGGAAAAATGGACATTCCTTTTGGTTAGATTCAGAGCACTAGCACCAGGTATCTGGCTTTCAGAATAACCATCTCCTGTGCTATTTATTTATTTATTTTATTGCATCACTGAAATTCGTACCAAGTCATGACATTTGAGTGTGTTTTTATGCCTTAGCCTGGCTGGGAATTTTCCAGTCTAACAAACTCGGTCCACGTCAGTGATGGGGTTCCTGTGCGTAGTGGAGGGAGAATGGCAGGCAGCGACCAGCGTGCATAACGAGAGGGATGCTCACTCGCCCAGTGCGGTCCGTCGGTGGCAGCTAGGACGTGGCCCCCTGTCAGAAGCGGCCAACGTTGCCATCACATGGTCTATAGCCCTGGTTTCCCAACTTATCAGCTCTTCCGTGATGTGAAAGCAAAACTGGAAACATGAAGTACTGGCCACCAAAATACCTTTGCTTTGGCAAAGCTAACACTGAGAGCGTTTCTTGAGACTGATCATTTTAGCACGAGGATTTCTTGCAACTGACTGATCGAGCAAGAAGGAAACGGCCGAGGGACAACAGCGATGGCCGGCGGGCAGGACCAGCTCTTGTCTGGAGGGGCACACTTAGACGTGTTAGATGTTAGAACAATTGAGATCGAAACCAGAAATCAGTGGCTATTTAGCCCTAGGGATTTACTGCGGAGGCCGGGAAAGCCTGTCTTTTCAGCTTTACCGTGAGAAAGCTGCCGGGAGGGCAGCTATACATAGCACATAGTGTGCGCCTGCTGTATTTTCACGCTGACCTTTGGCTCTCACCAGAGAACATATAGTCTTGGACGTAAAGGGGACAAAAGGGAGTAGATGACAAAGATCACTTGTGAAACATTTAAGATTCCTGGCTGGCCGCCTCACACAGGGTATGTGTTCATTTGAAGTCTTGAGATGGCCTGGTCTGAAACGTGGGAGGCAGCTGAGCACACGGGGCCGGTGCTCTTGGGGAGAGAATGTTCTCACTAGAATTGGTGACCAAAAGGCATGTTTTAAGCCCAGCTGCTCATGGCTGCGGCTCAGCCTTGGGACAGACTTTCCATACTTTCCAGTGGACTCTAAGGGTATACTGTTTAACAGTTTCTGTGTCATGTCCTTTTTAAGAAAAGGAAGTGCCCAACAAGCCCTTGCGTGTCCGAGTCCGACCCGCAGACGACCGGCTGTCCGTGGCCTGGAAGGCGCCACGCCTGTCTGGAACCAAGAGTCCACGCAGATCACGGGGTTTTCTTCTGGGCTATGGGGAGAGTGGCCGGAAGATGAATTATGTCCCACTGACACGAGACGAGCGCACGCACGAAATTAAAAAGCTGGGTGAGTCCCCGTTATCTGGTGTTCAGGACCTGGCGACCTTCCCCATCGTTTCGGTGTGTGGAAGCTCGTGCATGACGGACGTTTCATTTTAGTTGTGATGCTTACTTTGCAGGTATTACAATTGTTTGGAATGACATTCTCTGTTCTGTCCTCCCTCTGTGCCTCCACCCTTTTAACCTCCCCTTGGCCGCAGGACGAGGCCGCCTTCCCAGCGCCCGTCAGCTGCTTCCTGGCCCGGCAGCACAGGCCCCTCGAGCTGGGCCGTGTCTCTGGTCAGGACGCAGGTCGATGCTTTGCGCATCTTGGCTCTGCTGTCACTGCTTTGTTCTCTAAGCCTTGTCTGAGATCCTAGGACACTGGACCATGGATCCCGGCTGAGGAAGCCTGCCGATCAGGCCAGAAGAAGAGGGAACGCCCCGGAAAGATGAGCTGGGAAGGAGGGCAGGGGAGGGGACCAAGGACACAGAGACGCGTTCCGGGAAACCCGCCGCAGAGCCTCACCGCGTGCCCCTTGATCCACAGCCTCCGAGTCGGTGTACGTGGTCTCGCTGCAGTCCCTGAACTCCCGGGGGCAGAGCCAGCCCGTCTACCGGGCTGCGCTCACCAAGCGGAAGATCTCAGGTATGTGATGCGGGTGCACGGGTCAACCACCGCCCAGGGTGACTAAAGAGTTGTTTCCAGATGATGCTGGTGGGGTGACGAAGTCCATGGGTTTTCTCCAGTGTCAAGGCAACAGCAGGGTGGCCTTGGCCGCCCTTGGATACAAGTGTGTTTCTTTTACACGCAGAGGCTTGAGCATCTTGTGGTAAAACATGTGTCTCTGTATATATTGCATATCTTCACCATGTGATAGATTTGCCCTCATAAGAGCAGCCAAACATTTATTCCATTTAAAGGCACAGTGTGATCCACACAGAAACTTGCCCCCCATGATGGACAGAGGAGTGGACGGGGTGGGGGGGGGCCTGCAAGATTGCAAACTTGATTTCAGCCAAAACTGAGTAAAAATGGCCCTGAGAAGAGTGAGAAAAGGTGTACTAGAGGCTTGCTGATCGCCCGATCACGGGCCCCATGCTAAGGGACACTTTTTTCCACTTCTATTCACAGATATTTTTTAGAGTACTTATTTATTAACAGATTACATATACCTTTTCTGGATCGTGTGCCTTGAAGAGGCAGCCTATAGCATAATTATTTCCATGAACTTATAATTTATTTGTCAATTATACCTTTATATTACATAATATATTGTTATATTACTATATTACACGATAATGACGTATTAGAATTTTTACATTGTATAACAGAAGGCCTACATACGTGGTGCGTCACTTTTATGAGTCACTCATTGCTGCTGCAGAAGACGCTCCTTTCTCATTTTTCTACAGGCTAAGTATTTCCACCTTTCCCTACTTGTAGTTAAAGCCAAAAACAGAGTCCCTTAAAGTTGAAAAGAAAACAAACAGACAAAAAAGCCCAAGAGACTCAAAAGCAAAATTGAAGACATCTTGTGAGTTTATGTTAGAGACTGAACAAAAGCTGTAAGCCCTGTGTACTGCCTTGATGCACTCCACTGGACATGGGCAAACTGAATTCTCTTCCCTACCAAAGATAACTGTTGCTTTGTCTTGGGATCCCGTGCGGGAGGACGTTGAGCCCAATGTAGCTTGTGCTGTCGTTTGTACCAGAATTTTCATTTCATGGTATGATCGCCAAGGACGTGCTGGCTTGGGCTTTTCTTCCCCCAAAGTTTTGCTTCCCACAAAAAATTGTTGTTTCCCAGAAACTTGCAGTGAATATTGAGAAAACACCGAGTTACTCAGAGTAGGTCTGACAAGGCAAAGCCTCCCTTTCGGGCTGTGCGTTATGTCCCTTGGGTTGGGCAGCTTTCCAAGCGCACGGCCTGTATCTTAGACTGTGTTTAGGAAGCGCAAGAATGGAGACAGGTTGTTCTACAAACCAATCAAACAGTGGCTTAACTTTCTATTTGTGTTATTTCATCTACGTGAAGCATAAGCAATTGAAAAATTGTCCAGGGCGGCTGATACACCCTGGAGGCTCGAGCAACTAGGGTGGAGCCTGGGGTTTGGGACAGCCTCTCCACACACCCCCTTGTCATTTCAGAGGAGGATGAGCTGGACGTCCCTGAGGACATCAGTGTCCGGGTTATGTCGTCCCAGTCTGTGCTTGTAGCCTGGGTGGACCCTGCTATAGAAAAACAGAAGAAAGCTGTCGCATCAAGGTACGTTTCTTACTTCTTTGCCTTTCTTTTATGTATGTGATACATGGTTTTTCTGGCCCCAAAGAGACGTGCATTTATTGGAATGATTTTATTTTCTGACTTGTGTGAATGCCGGTTTCTTGGGTAGCTGAACAGTAGATTATCAGCTGCGATCCAGCTACTCCCGAGTGTGGTCTCACAGACTAGATGCTCCCAGGGCCTCATGGGCGGTGCCGACAGCGGGACCTTACACCTCACGTGCTCAGTCTTATCTTGTGTCTGCAAACATCCTCGATCCCGTTTCTTTCTTCGTGCCCATTTGCATCGCCCATTTGAGTTTGCTTGGCCTCACAGATGCTCTGTTTGCATGCAGAGGACGTGGCCTGGCTCAGGAGGGGTCTGAGCCTGCCTTCTGCTGGCTGTGAGGCTGGAAGGAGGAAGGCCCTTGTGCAGAGCGGTGGGCATTCGCCTGATGCCTCGCACAGAGCGGGTCCCCTCTAGACGTCCTTTGGGCTCCAGACGGCTTCATATGTAGCTTCACTGCATGTAACAAATGAATCGTAGTTTTTCTTAAGCCATGACCTTGTGCTATTCTGGTTTTTATATTTGTTTGCCATAGCAAGTGAAGAAAAACCAGTCATAAGATTAAAATAATTTTTGCGTTCAAAAGGCCACTGGTGAACATCATTTCTAGTTAGTGGTAGATTAAAATAGTCTTCAAAATTTTGTGTTAAGTGACTTAATAGTTTATATAGCCAAGAGGTGGCCACAGATTTGGTGGCCTAGTGACTACGTATTAATTTTTGAACCTATCTGCAACCAGGGAAAGTGAATGCACTTTAAAAAAATAAATGAACTGTAGTGCTGAGACGTGTGTGTGTGTGTGTGTGTGTGTATACACACTGTTATTTGATTTAGATACAGTTTCTGTCACTGTCTGCTAGTAAAAAAAGACACCTGCTCCCTTTGAAAGACCTCAGGAGGCCCATGGCAACTCCCTCCCCAGCCAGAGGGCCCCTCGGGGCGAGCGTCCCTGGTTACCCATGGACTTTGATTTCCAGCATCTCGGTGCAAACAAAAGCAGGATTGAGTTTTCTGAGCAGAACTCCTGTGCTAACTGGTGTGCTGTGTCTGTAACGGAGGCCTTATCCTGACTTAGTGAATGTCATCACGCACAGCACATTTTTAAGGCACCAAGTGCTTTCTGCGGCAAAGTGTCCACAGATACAGCTTCTTGGAAAAGGGCCCCAGTAGATGTCGTCTGCAGAGCGCAGGGTGTTGAGGATGTCTTCTGTCTGGGGCTGTGGAAGACCGCCACGTTTGGGCACCCCATGTTTTCTTCTTGATAATCTCACTCTCAGGCTCTTTTTATCAGCTCCCCTGTCCCGCCATTTGTTACACATTTTTGCTCCTTCTCATGGTCACAAGTCGACTCAAAACCACATGCTGCCTTCCCCCCCGAGTCTCTAGGAAACGTGCCGGACCTGGCACGCAGTGAGTCGTTTTGTCCTTCTTTTCTGGAAAGCCAAGATACCGCAGGCCAGTTCTGATCCTTCACATTGCCCTTTCTACCCCGCACATGTGCACAAACACGCACACACGTGTGCACGCACATCCCTCAAAAGGCACCTGCCTCATCAAAGCCATCCCTCCTCTACCCCCTTCTGAGTCTGCTTCAGCCTTGAAAAGTCATCTTTCCTGGCCTGCTTCGGACACCTTCGCCTGTAACCGAAGTAGATTCTTTGTGACAATACCAAAGTGCAGATTTTCTCCTCTCTGACTTCCTTAGTTACCTCCCAAAGCATCGCTTCTGGGGAAGGAAGAACGTCCAGGAGCCCAGCGTTCAGCTGCAGAGAATGGGCAGCTGGGCGCACCGCCCCCTGTGTGTTCTTACAGACAGTACACCGTGCGCTACCGAGAAAAGGGCGAGCTGGCCCGGTGGGATTACAAGCAGAGCTCCAACAGGCGCGTGCTGGTCGAGGGCCTGATCCCAGACACCATGTATGAATTCGCGGTCCGCATTTCTCAGGGTGAAAGAGACGGCAAGTGGAGTACATCTGTCTTCCAGAGAACTCCAGAATCCGGTCTGTATTGAAGTGGCCTTTGGACGGTCAATTTGGGAATACCTCTAAAATAAGATTAAAAGAAAGTTTAAGAAGCCAGTCATGATAAAGGCCAGTTTGGGCTCTTTTAAAGTAACTGTAACCCTAAATCTTGGTAGCGTGTCTATGTATGAACACAAGAAGTTAAGGAACTATTTCCTTACATCCATGTGTGTCCTTCACTGGCTCTTTTCATGAGTGTGCTATTCTGACATATGCAGCATATTAAATCCCAGTGTGGAGCATCCATGGATCACCGCTGTGTGCATGGAGTACCCATGGCTCTGGGGTGTAGGGCAGGCTTCTGTTCTTAGGCTGAAGTTGTATTTGATTTTGGGGGAGAATTCTGCTCTGTGTCTAAAGTCAAAGTTATTTTCCTTTAAACTTTGTCTTTATTTTCAAAAGCCTGGATTTTACGCTTGTTTGTCTATTTCATTATTCAGCAATGAGAGTAATCCTGGTTCCTAAAAGCATTTCTCTAGATATGTCTAAGCTCACTCTATGAGTTGGTGGAACTGATATAAATCAGGTTACACAAAAGCAAATGCAGACTTTTCCCTCATTATAATAAAAGTTAACCAACCCAGTAACTCTTCCATAAAGCTGTGCGCATGAGGACTGCATGTCATTTACTTTTAGAGTGTGCACGAGGGCGTCTTTAAAGCTTGGACCCTTGACCTTCCTTTTGTAGCTCCTACTACAGCTCCTGAGAACTTAAACGTCCAGCCAGTCAATGGCAAAGCCACAGCTGTCACTGTAGCTTGGGACGCACTGCCTGAGACTGAGGGCAAAGTGAAAGGTAGGAACCATGTTACTTAAAGTATAAGGTGTGCACGGGAGGGAAACCCTCAGATAGACCCACATACCTTGATTGTTATAAACACCAGTTCTAATCACAGGTCTGGTGACGCGCAAGAAATAGGGAAGCGACGTACGTCTGTGAGGTGCTAACCCAACAGACAAGGCTGTTTTGTGCAGGATTGGTGTTTTTCATTGTCAGTAACATCCAGGTAGTCACGACGATTCCTTTCACCTTTCGTATATACTCAAGGATGGGTGCTGCTATCAGGAAGGGTGTTTTTTGTTTTTAATTGTATGGGTGCACCGTCTAACATTTACCTGTCCCAGCGACACCTTGTTTTTCACGGTGCGGGCCTTTTCACTGTGCCAGTAACATCCTAGAGAGGCGGGGTGAGCAGGTACCCCATGGGACCATAAGTGTCTTGAATGGGACCAAATTTTTAATGGGGTTGAAAACTCAAGTAAGAAAATCAAATGGAAAATGGATTTTTTCCCCTATTTGTCAGCTTTTTAATTAATTACCTTTGGGGAGTTGAGGAGAATATGACCTTAAAATAACAATACTGTAGGTTTAAAAATAGAATAAAATATTCACAAATAGTTAGATTTTAAAGTCTGTTGAGACTACTAAATAAAAGCACAAACCTTTCTTTTTAATATGAAAACATTGGAGAACCTCTCATAAGTCTGTTGGAGATACTTTAAAGGGGCATACGAGGTTTTTCCTTGACATCGCTTTGTCCAAATGGACTCTAAGGGTACTTTTTATTGTTACAGAATTTTGGAAGACAACCTTTGTCTTCAGAAACTATGAAACTTAGCATCCAGAAACCACAAAAAGCTTGCGTAAGATTAAAGAAATCCAGAAAATTCCCTCTGACCTCCTTTGAGAATTTCCTAATTGGAAAAAAAAAAAGAGCGGTTGTCTTAATGTTCAGCTCTGAGTTATCTATGCTGACTTGTATGAACCTGTTCACGGAACCACAGAGGGAAGGCAGACACGAGACAGTCTTTTCTACTTAATGCTTTCTCACGTCCCAGTGTTTTTAGAGGAAGATATTGTGCTATTCTTGCTCATTTTTCCCCAGTGGAATACATTTTTAAAAAATGAAGAGAAGAAATATTTAGTTGGCCCCTTTTAATAATTCTTTTTATAAAAATTGGAACATTGGCTCTTTCTGCATTAAGTATTATAGTGCTGCAAAGGCTTCTACAAATGAGTAAAGACAGTTTTTGGCTGGCTACTCTTTAAAATCATTTTATCATTTGATTTTTGAAGGCTAAAATCAGTTATAAAAAAATCAATCATTGTTCCTCTAGTGACGTTATTATCACATTACTTATTTCCTTTCCCTCTCCCACATCCTAGTTTGTATTTACCCCTCTTTGGTGAAAGAAGCTCCCTGGTAGTCAATTCACTATTACCAGAAATAATAACAGCTACTGAGATTTTATGTATGAAAGGAGTCACAAATCTTAATCCGGCTTTAGGTTTTTTTTCATAAAGGGGTAGTGGTAGGATTGAAAACTCATAATTACATTGGGACATTTTTTATGTATGAGAAATAGAAAACACAATAGAAAAATATACTTTGACAGGGTTAATTTTTTTCCAAGTGAACTGAATCCATAAAAATTCTCAATTACAAAATTTCATAGTTTATTCTTTTCATTCTGACTTATGACTGGTTTGTTCATTTTCAATGAAAATAAACACCTTTCGTTTTCCCTTCAAATGTTGCAAAAGCATTTTTGGTTGAAAATTATCAAATTAATGTACTTTTAAAAGATTAGATCTTAGATAAAAGAAAAGATCCTTTGCTCCCATAGAAAGTATGATAATTGCTTGTTTTTTCTGTCATTTAAATTATTCTTTTTTGTTAGGTCCTAGTCATATTAATTTGACAAGTTTTGTAAATCTTGACTTCGTTGGTAGGAAAATAGGTGGAACAGTTTTCAGTTGAGGGTGAAACTGTGCTTTCCAACATGACTTCCTCATGTGACAGTATTTCCATAGACGCATAGAGATGTATTAGATCCTTGGACTGAATTTGCTGTGATTTCAATCAAGGGCATTAGATGTTTATAGAGGCACCCATTTAAAGATAGAAACATTAGTTATTGCACAAGTGTATGTATTACTTAGCAACTTTTCCTCACAGTTTTAAACACTGTGGAATATCCTTATCTGGATACATTAAGAACTTTGATAATTTCTATAAAAGTGAGATTATATTCCAAATATGAAATATAATTGGATTAATGTGCAAATCAAAATAGCCCAGACTAATTCACTGGAATTCCTGAAGATGCCAGCAGCGATTCGGAACCAGCTCCTATCAGTCATCATTTCTTTTTCCATGGTTTCTTCCATTCAGAGTCTACTCATTCTGCCCTAACAAATCAGTATATAACTGCAATGAAGAAAAAACCCAAACGTGGTGTGACTATCTTTGGTAAACTGTGTGAAGACTAGCTTCTCGAGTTCCATATGTTAATTTTTTTTAATTTTATTTATTGATTAGAGAGAGAGAAACATCAATTTGTTTCTCCACCCATTTATGCATGCGCCAGTTGATTCTTGTCTGTGCCCTGATTGGGGATTGAACCCGCAACCTTGGTGTATTGGGACGACACTCTAACCAGCCGAGCTGCCGAGCCAGGGCCCTGTATGTTGAATTTGCTGAGAACGGTCAATTGCCAGCTAATTAAGTAGGTGGCCCTGTCCCATCATAGCCCGAGAGCACGCTAGCCGCCCTCTCCTGTGTCCGTGCGCTCCGGCCGCTGCCTCGGCGTGCACTGCCGGAGTGTGCACCCTAGTAATGCACGTTCTAATTCATCCTGCCCATACAGTCTGTCTGCTGGACACAGGACTGTTTTCAGTTTCCTCCTTCCAACCGTCTGCCAAATCATTTCAGAATACATTCTTTCCTACGCCCCGGCTCTCAAGCCATTCGGAGCAAAGTCCCTCACCTACCCCGGAGAGACCACTTCTGCCCTCGTGGATGGCCTGCAGCCTGGGGAACGCTATCTTTTCAAAATCCGGGCCGCAAACAGGAGAGGAATGGGGCCTCACTCCAAAGCCTTCATTGTCGCAATGCCAACAAGTAAGTGTTGTGTGTGTATGTCTCTTCCTTTGCTCTCGTTTTGCTCATTGCGGTGTGTTACCGTGGATCATGTTTCCTGGGCTTAGAACTGCTCCACTGATGATTTCTTGGGCTAAGTTTGCATGGTGATTGCTAAAATATTTTTACAGTCCCTTTAGAAATGAGTTTCACCAAAGACTGAAATGTTATTGAAGGCTAATAACAGTAATCACTATTACATTATGACAAAAACATTACAAACGCTGTGTAATTTGGAGTTTATGAGGACAAAGAAAGAAGAGTTTTACAAGTGCAATGCGACATTTACAGGTGTTAGCTCTCTTCAGTTTGTAAATAGCGTTTGAAATGTTCAGTTTGTATTCCATTGCTTTGGAGCGCAGCTTTACTCAGAAGAATAAATTGCTAATTACCAGTTACCTTATTCATCTGATCAGTATCAAAGCCAAGCAAGTTAATGAAATCCAGAAATGGAGAGATGCCCTTCCTGTTCCCCCACATTCCCACCAGACACAAGTAGTGCCCTCCTTTATCGTATGCTGCAAGGTCCCCTGTGTAGCGCCACGCCACACAGCTCTGTCCTGGAACAAACTGAAATGATGCGGTTGACTCCCTCGGCGCTTCCCCTCCTCACAGCGTCTCCTTCTCATTTCTGCTTTCGGGAAGTGGTGGCTCGTAGGCTACCTATGGTAATGCTTTGCCTACATCAGGAGTCTTTTTATTTTTGCCCCTATTTTGGAATTACAAATGTATCCACTGTTAAAGAGATTTTCATGGAGAAGGAGAAAGCAAATAAGGACATGTCAGGAGGAATAGGGAACTTGTCGTCATGCTTCAAAGATTACAAATCCGTTGCTCACCAAAGCCACTTGCCAGTCACACACAACACGTCCCCGTATCATTGTGAGTAAGAGATCATTCAACATTTTACACCAGGTTTATGTGATTTTGTTGCCTACATGGTCAAGAACTGCTAGAACGCATTTGTAACATACTGAAGATTAGTTTTATTAAGGAACTCCTATGTAAGAAAGACCTTGCTTTTGTAAAATCAATGGCTTGCTTCACAGTGCTCATTTGAGAATTCTTTCCAATAATAAGCTGTGACATAACCTAGTTCAATTGATAGACATTTAGTTCACACATATTTTTCTAGAACTCTACCTATTACCTAAATCAAAAGAAGACTTTATAAGAGATTGCTATAATTGAGAAAATCTGTTCAGGGTTCCACAGATCGAGAAGTTGTCAGTTGTAATGACCAACTTTAAACGCCTCCCCAGCCACCTTTAAATAGGCACTTTCTGTTGCACAGCTTTTGAGTTTCTTCTTTGATGGCAAATCCTTTAACATGTCTTCCAGGCAGGACCAGCGAGTCTGACGATCAGCAGAAAACAGACGACGAGGATAAATGGAAATCTGAAAAGCCGGAGCCTTTCTCCTCCTCTCCCAAAGCCCCAGCTTCCTCAAAACACACTCACATGTCTGCTTCCCCGCAAGGCAGGAATGCCAAGAACCCTCTTCTTGACTTGAAGAACAAAATATTGGCCAACGGTGGCGCGCCCAGGAAACATCAGGCGACAGGACTCACGGAGGAGGAACCGGGCGCCCAAGGGGACCCACCAACGTTGCCCTCGGAGACCCAGCCCGAGACGCGACAGCAGCGGCCGCCAAGCAGACCTGCCCACCCGGCCCTTGCTTCTGGCAGGACCCCTGGGAGAGTCCGGACGCCCGTGCTGCCCCGAAAGGAAGGCGCGGAGAAGCCGGGCTCCTCGCCGCCTTCCCACGCTCGGTGGGGGGCCTCCTCGGCCCCCCACACATCCACTGAGGGCGGCCCTCGCCGCCCTGCCAACCTACCCTCCAGCTCCGCAGACAACGACTCCCTGGACGAAGAGGAGGGAAAGCCGGCCGCGGGCTCCCCGCACCTGAAAGACGCCTCCGCCGAGCACCTGCCGCCCAAGCGCGTGGCCCCCGCGCGGCCGTGGCCCGGCCGCCAGGCGGCCTCCAGCGCCCCGCGCGACAGGGGCCCCGGGCCCCACGGTGCCCGGCCAGCCTTGCCCGCGCGGAGGGCTCCCCATTCTGAGGTTGGGGAGGAAAATGCAAGGGCTTCCGCGTCCCCCCCGAGGTTCTCTCCAGCACTTGGGGGATCCTCTCGGCAGCCGCCCACCGATTCGCACCCTGGGCCTCCGCTCGCCAGGGGCGGGAAGGACGGACCCGACGCCCCAGCCGCTAGGGCCCATGCGCCTTCACGCCCCACCAAGTCTTCCTTGGTCTCTTCACGCCTCAGCTCAAGGACACAGGTCCCTGAGAGAGCGGATGCCTCCGAGGGCGGTGGTGACGATGATGCAGAAGAAGAAGGGAGGCGGGCCGAGGTCACCACCCAGACGCTTCGCTCCCGGATGCCTGCAGGTCCCCCTACCTCTGGCCACTTCGGTTTGCACAGAAACAAGCCCTTTGCCGTCCACGGTAGATACCCGAACAGGTTTGGCTACGGCCGAGGACCCCGACTACAGCCCTCCGGCTCCCCGTCGTCCACCGTGCCCCCCCGAGTTCATGCGAAGGGGAGTTCTCACCCAGCTTCCGACCTTCGGCATGGCTCGGGTACCCACGATGAGGACAGCGAAGCAGAGGACGAAAAGCCACTTCCTGCCACGGTGGTGACCGACCGCGTTCCTTCCTCCTCCAAGCAGCCCGCCTCCCGGGGCGGGGACCATCTAGGGAGAGGCTCCCAGAGGGGGACCAGCCTTCAGCGGAAGGAAGCCCTGGCAGAGAACCCCAAATCCGCCGGGACTTGGGACCAATCTCTGCCGTCCAAGGCGCAGGATGCACGACAGAGCACAGATTCGGACGCGGAGAGGGATTCTCCCCAGACGCAGCCGGCTCCTGCTCGGCTGCCCGCAGCGCAGTCGCAGCACCGCGCGGGGTCTAGTGCGCCCCTACGGAAGCACGCGCTTGCGCAGGCCGGGCGTCCCCACCCGACGTCGCAGGGAAGCGCCTCCTTGAACCCTTACGCTTTCGCCTCCCGAGGCAGTCCGTCGTCCCTCCCGGCGAGCTCCCGAGGGGTGCCCCTGACGTTGCCCCAGAACCAGAACGAGGATTCCGAGGGTAGAGACGGTGGGAACCCCGACGGCACAGAAGGAGGGACCCCAGGAGCGCGGGCGCCCGCCCACGCGGCCGGCGCCAAGGAGGCTACCCCGTCCCTTCCCAAGCACCGCCAGGTGGAGGCCCCGGCAGGAAGCGCGAGCGACGGCCACCTCCGCAGACCCCCGGGCTCCTTCCCGAGGCTCGGACGGCCCTACGCCCACGGCCGCCCCCGGGTCCCCGGCCGCGCAGGGCCCCAGGCGGCGGGCAAGAAGGACGGGGCGGCCCAGGCCACACCATCCAAGAAGGAGCCCCTGACCTCTAAATCTCCGCAGTCGGTCTCGGCGGAGGAAGAGGAGGACGAGGACGTGGGGTTTTTCAAAGGAGGGAAGGATGAGGACCCGCTGTTTTCCTCTGTCTCAAAGTGGTCCTCCGCCTCGGCCCCCAGGGGCAGCAAATCCGCGGATGGGGACAGCGGCGACACAGAGCCTGCCCTCGCGCCCGCGCCCCCCCGCGGGAGCCCGCCCCAGGATGAGAACCCCACTCCAGCGCAGCGCCCCCCGCCCCCAGGCAGCTCCCCGAGAGCCTCGCACCTGCCGCCCAGGCCCCCCCCTCGCAGCCCCGGTGCGCCGCGGGCCCCCGCGGGCACCCCCGCGCGGCCGCGGTACACCACCTGCGCCCCACCGGCCTCCGCCGCCACCACCCCCATGCTGTCCCTGCGACAGCGCATGATGCACTCAAGGTTCCGGAACCCCTTGTCACGCCAGCCCGGGAGGCCCCCTTTCAGACAAGGTACTTGGCTTTTTCTCACGTTTTCATTACTGTTTTCAGTAGTGTTCGCAGCAATGCCCAAGAAGCTCCTGTTTTCCTCAGCATCTGCTCTGCCCAAGCACGGCGTTAGCAGCTTTGCAGATACGGGGTGTGACCACGTTCTCTTCGCCATCGGGTGGGGTCTGAAGGCCTCCCCCGGTTTTCCGACGAGGACACTGGGGCTGAGGGCTCTGAGCGGCTTGCCCCAGGTCGGACGGCTAGGAAGTGGCTGAGCTAGAACCCTGAACGCGAAACTGAGGTGCACGGCCCAGGTACCCTGCCCTCCCACGCTGCCCCCCGAATTCCTCAGCCTATGCCTTCACCTGTGCAAGTGAGTCAGAGCCGTGACGCCAAACTCAGGTTCCTGTATTTGGGTCAGTTTTAGTTGTTCACGTGCCAGGCAAGATTTAAGGAATTGCCGTAGGAAATCAGATACTTCCTGTGTCCTTTGATCCTGTTCTTGTTGGTTCTGCACGCAAAGCTCCCAGCCGAACACCCGAGGGGGCAAACTCTGATGTCTTGGCTACGAATCGCTTAGACACTGCACTCGCTGAGTGTTGTTTCAAACCCGTAGAAAATACGTGTTGAAGGTGAGTGTCACACTGTTGTAACAGGCAGATGAGGGACTTCCACTGAGGACGGAGCGGTTGTAGACAGCTGTGAACTGTGGCCCAGGGTCCACATGGACCTCAAGGCAGGACCCAAGGTATGTCCCCTAAGTCTGCTTTCAGTTAAGTGGCTCCTTGCCCTCTCCTTGCAGGGACTCAGGGCTTAATAGAACATTTCTGAATGAATGTATTAGTATTTGTTAATCTGTACAATGTGCTGTTAGTTTAGTCCAGTGTCAGGACATAGAACACAGGCTTCACGTGGAGGTCAGTTTTCCATTACAATGGACTATTTTAAGCAAGCCTAAGATGCTGACAATAAACGTAAAACTTACACGCCCTTGTCCATAGCATTCAGTAAATATTTAATTTTCATTAGCTATTTGAGCAAGAGAACTAAGTGTCTGACCTGCAAATTGTGGTCAGAAAGCCCAAGCACCGTATCCCGCGGAGGGGCTGGACCTCAGGTGCGCCGGCCAGGGCCTCCTACGAACTGCCGCTGAGAAGTGGCAGGAGACAGAGGAAGGGCAAGGGGAAGGAACAGATGAACAACCGGAAGGGCTGCTAAGTGGGCCGCGCGCTTCCTCTCCGAGCAGACACTTCCCACGCAGCCCCACACAGCCCCGCAGAGCTCAGGCGACGCTGAGTCAGCGGTGCACGTTTGTACTTGGCGGTTGGTGATGGCAACTGAGTCTGCAGGAAATAGTCATCGTGTTTAGTAAATGTGCTGAGATCAGGACAGCAGCTAGAACATTTTAGAGACAGCTTTCTCCATCCTTCCAGCCCCCCTCCCTGCATCTTGCAACAGGTTAAAATGAAGCTATGGCCCCGGCTCGGTGGATTGGGTGCTGGCCTGCGAAACAAAGGGTTGCCGGTTCTGTTCCCAGTCAGGGCACATGCCTGGGTTGCTGGCCAGGTCCTCCGTAGGGGGCGCATGAGAGGCAACCACAAATTGATGTTTCTCTCTCCCTCTCTCTCCCTCCCTTCCCCTCTCTCTAAAAATAAATTTTTAAAAATCTTAAAAAAAAAAAGCTATGGCTACTAAAGCCTTTACTCTTCATCTGGATACTTTATGCTGAACACTCCCATTCCTCCAATACTGTCAGGAAACTGACTTTACTGTACTCTCTATTGACATTCACATTTGTCACATAGAACTCACAGTTTTGACTATCATTGTCTCATATAGTCCAGCTGTCTGTTTAAAATTCTGTTCAGTGTTTCTGTTTGAAACGAGGCATTACTCCTTATAGGCTGGTATGAACCCAGCTTCCCAGGAATGTTGCATTGACCAGGTTCTCTCCCTCTCTCTTTTGCACCGTGTAGGTTATAATGGCAGGCCGAGTGTAGAAGGGCAAGTACTGCCTGATAGTAACGGAAAGCCGAGCGGACAAAGAGTTATCAATGGCCCTCAAGGAACAAAGTGGGTAGGGTGAACTTCTTTACACCTCTCAAGTAGTTCTTGTGCCGTTTGCAGGAGAAAAATGGTGGACACTGTGTAACAAAAATGAAGTGGTCTTTTTTTTTCTTTTCTCTAGTTTTAACCACTTATCTGTTCAATATACTATACTATGTACCTTTCTTCCGGCAATCAGAAAAATCTTTGATTCTTCTAGGTAGCTAGTTTTTCTTCTCATAGCTGATAAGGCATGGCCTCTGTTTCTCGTTTGCCTTGACTGGTTGGGGAGCGCAGACCAAGAAAGGTATGGCCTAACCACAGCAGCGGCTTCTCAAATGAACTTTTGTTTGTCTAGTGTATTTTTTGTTTATTGTTTAATTAATTAGTACACATATTTTCTGTAAATCCTTTGTAAAAGGAAGCCGGGTAAAAATAAATGACAAACAAGAAAACCCTGGATCAAATAGGCAATTTTTATCAGATCACCTTTTGAATCTTCCAATAATTGTTGTTTGTCCAAAATAAAAGACAAGTATTAGTATTTTATGTACATTTAAGCTAAATGACCAGCTTCTTGGATTTAAGAGAAATGTGTAGGGATTTTTGGTGGGTTGAGGGTAAAAGTATTTTTTCAAAGAATCAAAAAATTATTCATAGTGGAATTAATTCCCAGCCAGCACTTCCCCTCTGTAGCAATTAGGTTTCAGAAAACATGTTGAAGGGTTTCATGGAGCGTTCAGTCACAGGTTGTCTAAAGATACATCTAAGAATTTCTCAAAGGAACAGAAATTTACTATACGAAGAAAGCCCATTAAAGCAAATGTCATATATACAATTTTGAACTGACCTGTATGGGTAGGTTTCAAAAGCAGGGTTTATAGTAATGAGTCTTATTTTAATTACTGAGAGAGGACCCAACAAAGTGGCCTGCCTCCCGGGTTCCTTCGCTGGTCGGGTGCTGCAGGGTCACGGTTCTCAAACATCAGTGAGCACCAGATCTCTTGGCTTGGGGCCAAGTTCCCGGGTGCCACGGAGTCTGCCAAGCTGAGACCACACTTTGAGAACCACCAGTGTGGACCATGAGCTTGTTCTTTAACAGAGACACCTTTTTATTTCAAGTTTTGTAATTCCTTAGAATATAAAGGGGGCAATTTAATGACAAACTGTTTTTGTTATCACAACTTTGATTTTTAACATTAACAGTAAATGAAAACATTTCATATTTTTAATACACTAGCAATACATGTTGATCACAAGAGATTAAAACAATTCAGAAATATATATGAAAAAGTTAATAAGCATTCCAAACCATTTTTCAAAGATAATCTCTGTTAACAGTTTGGGATGTGTCCTTCTAGATTTTTTTCTCTGAAGCTTTAAACTTATAGACCCCCCCAAAAAAGAATATATTTTTATTTTTGAAAAATAATGAGCCCCGTGACCTGAGTTCACATCTGTATATGCCAAATATATGTAGAATTTCCAAATCCTTCCCATGGGCCACATAGTATTCCCCTAGAGGTATGGATGTGGCAAATGTATTTAACCCCTGCCCTCCATCAATGGACAGCTAGGTTATTTCTTACTTTCCAGCATTCCACACAATGTACTAAAAAACAAAAGTATTTTGAACATCTTTTGTACATCTGAGAAACTTAAAACAATTTATCTACTGTATGGCTAAGAAACTGTAATATGAAACATGACTGCTTTGCACTTTATTCTTTGTAAACCTTATGAGAGATGCCAACAAAAATAATGTTTCTACTCACTTTAGGGTTTCCTTCTGTGAAGTTTCATGCGTGTATTCACGCAGTTGGATTAACGTGAACGTTTTGCAATGTCCTATACAGTCTTTAACCTGTGTCGTGGCTTTAGGTCGTGGACCTTGACCGCGGGTTAGTGCTAAATGCAGAAGGAAGGCACCTCCAGGATTCGCACGGCAACCCTCTTCGGGTTAAACTGGGAGGAGATGGTCGGACCATTGTGGGTAAGCGAGAGTGGTTTGGAAGGGGCAGAAGTGTCCTGGCTGAGCTGTAGAATAACAATTTCTTGTCCTCCTCTCCCGAATTTTGAATGGGTGCCCTTGGTCTTGTTACTTTTGGCCACGCACTTTTTCCCTGATATAGATGTCAGCGATTCTTCCAGCAGAACCCACCCTCTTAGAAAAGACAGCGCTCGCCTCTGTTCTGGAAGGGGGCCGCCTGGTGTGGGAGGCAGCAACCCATGACCCACAGGCTAGACCCTGTCTGCTGCCCGTTTTCTATGGCCCGTGAGCTCAGAAGCATTTTTTCATTTTTAAACGACTGTAAAAAAGAAAAAAAAAATCAAAGAATAATGATACAGTAATATCTTGCTACCATTAGCTCCAGAACTCATGAAACCCTGTACTCCTTGCATTTTAATGAGAAAAAAATGTTTCAGCATTTGGCACTTGCTGGGGACTTGTATGAGTCATGACCCCGCCCCGCAAGAGAACATGCTTCGTCACACACGGCTTGCTCGGCACTCATCAGTTTCGGCACTCGTCATGAGGTCCGGAACAGATTAACGGGCGAGTACCGAGCTACCACTGTATTTGTGACATGTGAAAATTATCCGAAATTCACATTTGGGTGTTCATGTGCAAAGACTTACGGGAACACAGACACGCTCATTGTCTATCTTGCCCATGGGTTTTTGCCCGACAGTGGCAGAGCTCAGTCATTGCAATGGACGCTATTGGGCCCATAAAAATTAAAAGTGTTCCATCTCTGGCTTTTTACAGAAAACATTTGCCATCCCTGATCCAAAGTAACATTTTTCCTCCTTAGATGTAGGAATGAGAAAGAGGAAAGAATTACAGGGCCTACTGATGAAATATTCATTCATTTAGATAAGTTAGTAAAGAGTAATGGGCAATATAGTAAGTCTAGCAATTTCTGTGTAACAGCAGATATTTCTACCTCAGCTGATATCCTTTTCATTATTTCCTTGCCTTTTTACTCATTAAAGGACAAGAACACGTACGCTTTGAGAAGACACTTTCCGCTTGCTTCTTACTGCCTCTGCCTGTGTCCCCGCGTTGAACAGATTGTGTTTGATTTTGTTTCAGATCTGGGAGGGACCCCCGTGGTGAGCCCTGACGGGCTCCCCCTCTTCGGGCAGGGGCGATATGGCACACCCCTGGCCAGTGCCCAGGATAAGCCCATTTTGAGTCTTGGAGGGAAGCCTTTGGTGGGCTTGGAGGTCGTCAAAACGACTACTCATGCCCCCACCACAACCGCGAGACCCACCACCATCCCTCGGCCGACCACGACCCTGCGGGCCAGAGCCACCACCCGCTGGACCCCCACCACCACGCGCCCAACGACCACTGTCCGAACCACTGCTCAGACCACCCCCCCCAGCACCACCACCCCCGCCCCCACCTGCCCTCCGGGGACCGTGGTGCGGCGGGATGAAGACGGCAACCTGCTGATGGGCTCCAGCGGGGCCCCGGCCTGCTACCCTGAGGAAGGTAACTGCGTAGCAGGGTGCTTCCCGTCGGGGGTCCCACAGGCTGGCAGGGGACGTAGGGTGCACGATGGAACGGAAACCTGGGGCACTGCCAACCCTGCCAGGTGTGTTCGGCAGGACGGTGTCCCATCTGGGGTTGTCAGATTTAACAGGTTGAAATAATGCACGGGACATGCTTACATGATCAATTATTTGCTACTTACTTGAAATTCAAGTATAACTGGGTATTCTATGAATAGATAGATCGATCGAGATAGAGATGTATGCATGCATGTGTGTGTGTGTGTGTGTCTGTGTCTGTGTGTACATAAAAGGTTCTGTGATTAGCTATGTGATTTAAACAAAGTTAAATGGGTTTCCTGCTATTGGATCATCGGATCATTGGATAGGCTTATTGTGCATTTTCAAGAAAAGTTTTGTTTCCCAAGCATGTGTGGCAGCAGAGTGTTTTTTGAATCAGCAGTAGGAGTTTTCCACTGCAAGGGGTGGGCACCGCACATTTCTCTGCTTTAGGGCACCCAGTCGGGGCTGTCCTCTGCCCCTGCCCTGTCTTCCTCCTGAGAACGGCCTGCTCCCCCTAAAGAGCAGAGCTAGGACACTTTCGGTCTGGTCATGGTGGAGCTGGGACGTCGGTGTCTTTGCTGCTGAGTCCTTGTTCACGTGGCTTCGGATGAGGCTACCCTGCACTGGCATCGGGCTTGGAGGAGGCAAATTCATCTCCTTCCCCTCAGGTTGAAGTGAACTGCAGTGTCAGCTGTAAAGCGTATGTCTTTTTAAGCCAACGCAGAGGGAAGACCCTTCATTTCAGCCATCATTCGCACGCTTAGAATTCTTACGCAGCCTCGTTGACCATGATAGGCCCAATCAATGGGAACTTGAACACCGTTCCAAGATGGGAATGCTGTTTGAAGTCAGTCATTGCACAAACAAGTTCCAAATAAAGAGGAATATTTCACACATCTAAAAAATCCACTCCAGAGAACAAGGAAACGTACTGAGGAAGAGAAGTATTGGGAAGAATTCTCCCAGTGGATGCAAATTAGATTTCACCTTTGGATTTCTGGTATGACATATTATGTACTTTCCTTGACCTCTTCTGCATACATTAACATGTTTATTTTTAAAAACTGAACTAGAATTAGAATAGATATTTACTTAATAATCAGCTGTAAACAGAAGACTATTTTGGATTTCACTTTAATTACTATTATTAGTATTTTGCATTTTCTTCTGTCTGCTTTTATATAGGCTTCATGTACTTTGTATTTTTGGCCTTTTATCTGGCATGAAAACCAATATTATTCTTGGCATTTTGTTTCTCCTTCTCTTCGCAAATCATGATCTATATACAGGGGTTGACAGAATTAGGTTTACAGCCATGAGTACGCAAAACAGCGTTTGTTCTTATTATTGTGTTATTATTAATTATCATCTTACTTATTTGTACTACAACTGTAGACTTACTGTTACCCACCGCTGTGTGTATGTTTTTCCTTTACCCATGTCCAGCTTTCTGATTCCCTAACATCCAAGTGCTAATACTAACTTGCCTCTAGGCAGCATTTTCAGAATAACTACAAAGTCCTGGGAAGAAATTAAATGTAAAGGAAAAAACTGTGTCCTCTCTAAACACTATTGTAATGTACTATAATTCATTATTTAAAAAATACAGTTGACCTTTGAACAACATGGGTTTCAATGCACAGGTCCACATATATGCAGATTTTTTTTCAATAAAAACTGTAAGTGTATTTTTCTTGTGATTTTCTTAACATTTTTTCCTGTAGCTTACTTTATCTTAAAAATACAGTATATAACATATATAACATATAATATAGGTGCTAATTGACCGTTTATGTTATTGGTAAGGCTTTCAGTCAACAGCTGACTGTTAGTAGTTAAGTGGTTTTTTTAGGGGGGAGGGGTCAAAAGTTATACTCAGATTTTTGACTCCATGGATGGTTGATTTCCCTAACCTCTACATTGTTTAAAGGTCAACTGCAATGTGAAAATTAGAGTCAAAATTACTCTCAAAACCTTTGTGCTTCGTTTGTGAAAGGCAGCAGCCTGCCGTTCCCTGGTGGAACACCTTGAGGTGGCCTCGATGTGCCAACACGTTCTGTAAACGCTGCAGTGACACTCAGAACAGAGAGAGGCCGCCGGGAAGAGGCTCTGATGTCCGTGGAGGGACAGCCCTGGGCTCCCCCAACCGCAGCCTGCAGAACCACAGACCGTGCGGCTCAGGCTCCGCCCCCACCTTTGCTTGCGAGCCTGTCTTCTCTCATGCCCCTGACCCTCCGGTGTATTAAGCATAGTTCAGACCACAGTGCATGCTCTCAAGGTCTGGGGTCCGCGTGTGCACAACCAGTGTTTACCAAGCGACACTGGCCGTGGCACTTTGCAGCCTGGTAGTCCGAAATGGTTATTGTAGTAATTATGATTTAGAACCAGCCTTAATGATCAGTGACTGACTATCCGCTCTTCCACGCACCCCCCCCCCCCATCTAGTCAACATTTGTCATTATATGCCATTGGCAAAGTCCTAAAATTCCGTTTCCAGCTCTCCAATGTTAAAGTCATCTTTTTGGATCTCCAAGTCTGGGCTCCCCTGGTTAGAGCGTGTCCCCCTTTTCTTTGAAAATGCTCTTTTAAAATAATGTTCTAGGAATAACCTTGATTTATTTGGTCATTCCAGTAATTCGACTGGTTTATGTACTCCTGCCTTTGTTACGGATGCCCTGCTGCGCGCATCTCCCTGGGGGCATGGAAGCGTAGAATATGCGTGTTTCCTGTGTGGTGTTGCTTTCACCCTTCCTCTCTCTGCTCGCTCTATACACACATGCACCAGGCACATGGATACTTTTTGTTTGCTCTGACATCCCCAGTAGATAATAAAGTCCTTGCAGGAGAGAGAGTGTCTTCTTCTTCATGGCACTTAACCCTTCATCTTCAGGCACCTAAAGACTGCTTGAATCTCTAGGTTTGCTCCATCTGCTAAGTTGGAGGTAAAAGCCAGTGGTCCTTGCCTTTCAGGTTCCATTCCTGCAGCAGATCTGATGAGATCGTGTGTGTGTGGAAACGTGAGGCACCAGCGGAACATCGTCAGCAATTTGTGCCATGGCCGTGGGGCCTGTGCCAGGAAAACATCAGTCACTAGAGAATGGTCCCACCGTGCCACAGCTCGCTCTCACGACCAAAAATGCAGAGAGAATAATGAAAAATTCAACTGGGCTGGACCAATGGCACACTTTGCAAATATCCTTGGGTTTCAGATGGCTGTCATTCACCGCCTCTCTCAACTTCTGAGAATATTTTGTATAGTTTTTCAAAGTATCACTGGACCCAAGGCCCTAGAATATTCGGTGATGTTTTGCGCCTAAGAGAATAAGTCGTACCACCATGGTTGGTGGCTGGCAGTCACTTTTGTATGAAGAAGTGGAAACTTGTGACATTAATGCAGAGTTGACTTATAAAACATTCGGTTTTACATAGTTCCACATGGTTTAAAAGGTATCCAGGTGAGGCAAATCCTTATGGTCAACTTTTAAAAAAACAAACATAAAGACACATCACTACATCTTGGAAGTTACTTCTCCTTGGAATCCAGATGGTGCTCTTTTAGAAAAGTATGCCTGACTCCGTTTGGTCTTAAAAAAAGAAGCACAAAATTACTCAGGACGATGTTTACTTTTGCCAGAGCACTTACCTGTCACTCACCTTAAGAAGGGACCCCCGTCTGCAGGTGAAAGGCAATCATTTCCGTGACCTGCTGCTGCCCTGGAGTATCTCAGCCCCTCTAGGAATTGCAGTTGACCCCGGAATTCCTGGCAGAAACCCTACGCTCTTCCCCTTTCTTGTTCACTCTTGAGATGCAAAAAAAAATGTACAACTTATTCATTTCTGACTTGGCCAAAAATAACAGTGAAAAGCAATGGATCTGAGCTGGTAATGAGGAAAAACAAGACCATGTTCTTAAACATTAAATTGATGAGAGAAAGAAAATGGTGTTCCAGGGAACAAAAGCAGGATAGCCCCACCTGGTAGGGGCCGTGAACTTGAAAACTGCCTGATTTGAACCAGCCCAACAGCCATTCTTTTTGAATCCAGGCATATTGACATTGGACTGACCGCAGGGAAAATTATGTTTAATAGTTTTTCATGAAGTGACCGCTGTGGCCCCTGAGGGTGGTGGATCGTTGACCGTCTCTTTCTTGTGGACATTCATCAGCTCCCTCAGAACACGCCCAGCGTTACCACCACAATGGTGAAGCGGGGGCTGGGCACCCCAGGCCTCCTGCGGCTCCGTGCTCCGCGCTTCGTCCCCGGCCGGGCTGGGCAGGCAACGCTGGGCCGCCAGCGTCCTCGCTGGCAGGGTTTGTTTTGGCTCCGTGACACGCATGAAGGGATCCAAACCAGGCTCAAAACGGGCCAGGAGAATGATCCTATCGGAGTCTTTCTGGGGCATGATCAATGGTTTTCTAACAATAAAAAATTCAAATTGGTGCCTATAATTTTTTAGCGAAGGGGGTTTACACACTTTCTACTTCATTTTCCCCTTTATTATGCTGTGGAACCATGATTCTAATACAGCACCTCCAGGTTTACAAGCAATGCCATTGGTTAGCTTAGCTTTTAAAAAGTGGAGGCAGTTTTATGAAGGATAAAGTGCACAGTCTTTGGAGCTGGAGAGTTTCAAGTCCAAGTTCAGTTTCAGCAGCGCCCTTCAGCAGCTGGGGCTCCAGGCACATTATAAACCCTCGGTGTCCTTGGTTGCAGAGTGGGTGTAAGCCCATGCCTGGACCGTAAGAGTCTTAGGTGAGGATTAACTCCAGTAATAGAGTGTGGAAAGTGCCCGGTGCCCAGAAGGCATCTGGTAGATTGTAGCTACTTCTTCCCACCGGCCCCGCCCCCGCCGCGTTTTAAGGGCGCACTGAGTTCAGCGTTCTGTGTGGATGCTGTGGGCCTCGGGTCCACAGGGCACCATACCTCGGAATTGTTTTGACTTAGAAAATTTTTGCCTCCTAATTTTATCAGCTACGGAGACGTGTTCCCCTTTTTACAACTGCATCTACTTTCCCCCAAGTAGAAAAATAAAACATTGATTATTTTGCATTTTTCTCCAAAAACACTTCTGTTCAAAATACCCAGATAATGGTGGCAAAAATGTGTTTTGTTTGTGTGTGTGTGGTTTTTTTTTCTTTTTTTGTTTAAATCACTCACCTTGTCTGACCATGTTGTTATTCATGCTCACGATATTGGATAACTAGGTTCTTATAATTAGGGCTTCTTGGAAGACTCAAAAAAAAAAACCACATATGAAATTCTATAAATTGTACTTAAGGGATAATTCTGTGGGTCCAGTAATTGTGTAAGGAACGCCCAACTGGTTTGTAAAGAGAAATTGTAGTCATTGGAATATTATTTCCAAACTTCCCCTACAGATTAAGCCACCTGATGAGCACAGATTTATCTCTTGAGTCGGGGGAGAGGGGGAGAGGCGGGAGGGATGCGCAGGGCCCAGGGGACCCTCGTCAGTGTGCTTTGCAAAGGTAGACTGTCAGGGAGGCAGGAAGTCACTCTGCTTCTGGAACAAGCGAGAGGCCGAGGGCTGGAGAGAGTGAGGGTGTCCTGAGCTCTCCGGTGGAGGACTCCTGTCCCTGCCCTGAGAACCCGCCACCCACTCTCTCCGCAGGCTCCTTGCGGCTTCCTGACCACGGCCGTCCTCGGGCCTGTGACAGGATGAGCCTGGGGTCCTCCCCCGGCTGGCGGGCTGAGGGGCGCTGAGGTGGCCGGAAGGGCCATCAGAAGGAGCTTGCTGCACCGGGGGCCAGGACGCTGGGCAGGGCCTTCCCTTTGGTGGCGGGAGGGCATCTGGGGGCCCCACCCTGGGCTCGAAGGAGAGGGGTCCAGGCCCCTCCGGGTGCGGTTGCTCTTCCTGCTGAGCGAGCGCAGGAGGCCCGGTGTGGAGGACTTGTTCCCATGAAATGGCCACTGGGAATGACCCTCGTGGCCTGGGCACAATTCTCAGCCGAGTCCAGAAAGCCCAGAGCATTGATGGCTCTGTCCCTTCCTTTTCCTCTAGATGATTTCTCAGGATTGGAGACAGACACGGTGGTACCCACGGAGGAGACCTATGTGGTCTACGATGAAGGTACTCACTGATTTTAAGCACATCATTTGGGTAACTTCTTTCCTGATGGGAGGATCCTATTTTAATCACTAAGTGGATGATCTGAACTGCAGTTTCCTTCAGGACTCCGGGCTGGGTGGCCGTGCTTAGGGAAGGGTGGTTGAACCCCACGCTTCTAAAATTACCCCCAGTACATATTTGATCCAAAGAAACTGTGAGCTTGGTGATAGCGCAGCTTCCAAACAGGTGCCCTGTGCTTCCTGCCTGTCCCTTCCAGCCCCTCCTTCCTCCAGAAATTCGGGAGCCAGCAGGTGTGAGCTGCTGTCCCCTCTCTGGCCCTCACAGCTCTTTGTACAACTAACCAACGTCTCAGCTTCCTCTCTTGGCCCTTCTCATTCTCCCCTGTTCTCTCTCTTTCTAATTGCATTAAAACATGCAATGCAATGCCTTGGCTGGGTGGCTTAATTGGTTGGAGCATCATCCCGTCCACTGAAATGGTTGTGTGTTCAATCGCTGGTCAGGCGTGTACAGGAGGCAACCAATGTTTCTCGCACATCGATATTTCTCTCTCCTTCTGACCTTCTCTCTGTCCAGAATGAATAAAAACATATCCCCAAGGGAGGATTTAAACAAATGCAATGCTACAGATGTGTTGAATTTTTTAAATAATAGAATCTTTTTCATAGAAGTAAGGGTAAGCTTGTAAGATGAAGAATACAAATACATACTTGGACAGCCTCCCAGTGGGTGGTCGCCAGTGGCAGCGGTGTGCTTGTGACCCTCTGACTCTCCTGTGTGTTCCGTAAGTTGCCTCTGCAGGTGGAGAAATTCATGCAGGCCTCTCGTCCCGCCCTGGTGCCGGCCTCTCCACTCAGAAGGTCCTCGCTTTTGTGTGTCACCTTCCCGGTTATTATCTGTCGCTCCAATGGTCTTAAATCACAAATTTATTATGATTACACCTTTGATAGAATCATAATAAAGTTTGATATACTGGTTTAGTCTTTCCAACAAAAACATATTTAGAAAAACATCCCATGTCAGAAAGCAAAGGAAGATTTCGTAGCACCTTTGAAAATACTATGCACCTTTCTTATTATCTTTGAGCAGTTGAAAAGGAGACAGCGTTTTATTTTCTTTTTTAAATGTTAAAGAATTCAGCAACAGGGGAAAATTGGGACAACTGTAATAGAACCACAATAAAAAAATAATAAATGTTAAAGAATTCTCTTGGCAGAATTAACCCCACCTTCTCCCCAGAAAAAAAGCCCAAAGATGATAAATGGAAAAAAAAAACCAAGTTTGTTTTCTGATGTGAATCTTTCATAGCTCTAAAAGGGAAAATTACGTAGGTCGAGAATGACGATGGACCAGTGACGGGAACATGCTCACCTGGATGAAATCGAAGGCTCGCCCCAGCTTGGATGCTAAAACCTCCTTTTTCTGGTCATGTTTCTTTTTTCCTTTCCCTCCTTTTCTCTGCAGCTGCCTTTCTGAGGGGACTGAAACAGGGAGAAATGCAGTTGTATTAGAAACAAATGATGTTTGGGCACGGCACTTGCGTTCAGGGTCCGTGTGTGCACGCTTTAATTGAGAGCTGGGTCTTAGGAATGTACCTTCCTAAGATTGCACACAGCGCTCCTTTCCCAGAAGCGCCCGATCGCAAACCTTCACATCATTTCAGGTTACACCGTGGAGACCTCGAGGCCCGCGGCCGCCGCCCTGCCCGCCACCACTGAGGCTGTGGCCACGCTGGAGGTCATTCCGCCCGAAGGCACCATCAACTCCTTTCCTGAAGAGGAGTTTGATCTGGCTGGAAAGAAACGATTTGTCGGTAAATAGAACTTTCTTAATCAGAGAAACACGGGTTTTCAAGTTTCGTCCTTTGAAGAAGAGCGTAGCTAATCTCCAGGCCGGCCGAGGCAGCGCGTTTGGAGCAGAGCTTTCCCAGAGTGAAGTTCCTCTTCGGGGCGACCGGGAGTCGCACGTGGTCTTGCTCTGCGCAGTCAGGAGCCAGGCGCGTGCAGGGAGCGATGGGAATTTGACAGAGAGGGGAGAGGAGAGGACTGTCTGGTGTCGCCTCAGAGTGAGGGTCACTTAGAAAGCGTCAGCTCCAGGGGACACGGGCAGTTTTATCATAGCCAACTTCTCTAGACGAGACGTCCTCTGGGCTTTGCCTGCCCGTGGTGTGTCATGTTCCTCCTCAAAGGTGAGCGGGTGACGGAATTGAGCCGCAGGGGTTGTTTCTCTAGTTATTTCCTGTCATTTTCATTAGCCTCGGGGACCGGGGGCCTAGAAATCCGCTTTACTCTTTTTTGTCAGTCACGAAAACAATTTTGAGAGGAAATTCTGTTTTGCTCAACTGTGTTTCACTCCCTTTGGGAGTCTTCTTTTCTGTGCCCTTAATGAACTTCACTAATGAGACAGATTAGTATAGTACTAAGTGGAAAAAAATAATATATGACTAAGTAGAGACTGGCAACAGCTTAAACTAACATCACACGTTTTGTTTCCAAAACAAATGCTCTGCCATGAGCAGAGAACAGCTCTTGCCAGCCAAGATGGAGCAGTGAGTGTCTAACGTACATGAGCTTGAAGAATCAGGATAATTAGTGTGAGGTAGCATTCCTGTGGCCGGGCTAATGCTGGCCCGTGGCATTCAGCAGCCTGGCTGAAGTCGCCAAACCTGACTGTCTCTCTGTAGTTCCATGACAGAATCTGAAATCCTTTTAGCACTATTATTAGCTGTTCCAAAGAACTCTTCGGAAGGCTGAAAGGCTTACCATTGTCTGGCTAGTTTTATATGCCTATAACTCTATAAAGCATAGACGATTATTCCCCAAAACTTCCTGATGAGATCCATGCACAAACTCTGAAGGTCTAACTTGATACAGATTATTGGGAAATACAGGAGCTAAAATTTCCTTGTAGTTTTGATGGACCCTGAGAATGAGAACTGAACCAAAGAGGCAATGGAACATTTAGAAAGTATTGGAAATTTGTTACGTGAGAGCACTCGGCAGTCTTGTGCGTATGAAACTCAACTCCGATTCCCTGGCATTTGTAACTTCTTATACAGCATGTGTCACAAAAGGCCTGCGGGCTGGAGGTAGAGTCTCTTGTTTGGCCCTTGTTCATGGGCCTCCACTCTGTCCACAGACTTGGCTGGGGCACGGGAAATCCATCCAAGGCTGGCCTGACTGCCAGTGTCCTCGGACCCACTGAGATGACGTGTGTAGAAAAACCTTGAAGCTGTTCATAAATGTGAATAGCTACAATTGTACTGAGCAGAAATGTTGTAGAAGGCTGGTCCAGCCTGGCCTTGGCAGACATGCCAGATGGTTCTGGGGGTCCCTGAAGCCCCGGGGAGGGCCGTCCAGGGCTGAGGCTAGAGGGTCCATATCTTGATCACTGTGTATTTCTTTCTGGTCCCAAGATAGTCTAGGCAATGAACTGTGTTGAGAGAACTGCAGCCGGGTCTGATTCATACTCTTGCAAACCTTGCGGCTTGGGAATGGCGGCTGCAGACCTTACTTATGCTACACAGACTGTGGTCTGGGGATCTTTCAGAGTTGCTTTGAGGCTGTAGTCATCCATGTTTATGGGGCAATGGGATCTTTTGAAACCACAGGTGAACAGGTGTAATGGTGTGGATCCTTTACAGAGAGCCAGGGATGTGCTCCTAACTTGGTACCAGGGCTGGTGGCCTTGGCACCTCTGTCTAGTGGGGAGAGATCCAATGGTTTGCAGACTCCATGGAGTGGCACTATGTGTCTGCCTCCAGAGAGAGCCTCCAGCAGCTGGGTGGGGTGTCTCCGTTTACAGCTCCATATGTGACGTACCTCAATAAGGACCCAGCAGCCCCTTGCTCCCTAACCGATGCGCTGGACCACTTCCAAGTGGAGAGCCTGGATGAAATCATCCCGAGTGACCTGAAGAAGAATGACCAGCCTCCACAGCACGTCCCCCGCAACATCACCATTGTCGCCGTGGAAGGCTGCCACTCCTTTGTCATTGTGGAATGGGACAAAGCCACCCCGGGAGATGTGGTCACAGGTGTGTCCGGGCTCAGATGCTCAGAGCCCCCATCGGCATTAGGGGGGGAAGTACAGACAGGAGCGGATGGGCAGATGAGGGGTGAGTGAGCACGTAGCTGGCCGGCGGGAGGGGGGCGAGCCGCTGAGGCAGGAACTCCGCTCGGCCTCCGGAGGCAGACTGCGCAGGCGTCGTCGAGGCTGAGGGCCCGCCCCTGAGGTCTGTTAATAGCAGGTAAGGCAGAAAGACGAGTTGCCTGGCTGCTGCCATTAGACATCCAGGGCGAGGGGGAGCGCAGGCGTCAGCCACAGGAAATCCAAGGAGCGCCTTCGCCAAATGGGTGAGGAGGCCCACAAGTCTCGGCTCTTTCAGACACACAGGTGCACGTGGCGTTCCACAGCTCCTGTGTTTCGCGTGGAGGCCAGCTGTAGATGTCTCTGCCAGGAAAGTCTCAAATACTTGTGTGGCAGCCACTGCTCTTTTCTTCTGCGCAGTTGAGCTGAGGGGTGATTCGTCCTGAGACGAGGGGGAAGGTAGAAGGTAAGGAGAAGGAGGAGTAGGGACCTAGCACGTCTCAGGAAGCGCCTTCAGTTTTGTTACTTGCATTTGAATTCCCCAGAAGATCCCGATGCTGGACCCCATCCACAGCCAGCCCACAGCTGGCTCCTTCTGGAACCCTCCTGCAGAGCTGCTCTGTGCGGCTGCCTCCTCCCCACCATCCCCGACTGGGCTGCACCTCTTGCAAGATGTGATTCCTTGATGCTCACTGGGTTCCTCCTTTTCTCCACGTGCAGGTTACTTGGTTTACAGTGCATCCTATGAAGACTTCATCAGGAACAAGTGGTCCACTCAGGCTTCATCAGTAACTCATTTGCCCATTGAGAACCTGAAGCCAAACACAAGGTATGATGTGTCTGTCGTTGAAAAACCGAAAATGAGACCTGCGTCCATGGTTACCGATATCCTGAGGCTGAAAATGGAAGGCTCAGTCACAATGGTTTTATGATTCCTTTTGCATTCTTCCTTTAGTTCTCAGAGAATATCAGTGAACACTTGCCGTACGACACGTATTTTTCTTGGAAGAAATTACTATATGTACTGTGACCGTTAGTCTAGCATGTGATGTTTTGTTCCCTAGTTTCCAGAGACTAAACACTACCTACCCTTGGGGTAAGAAAAGTTGTCCTGTGGGTTGAAAAGGAATTGGTCTATTTCTGGGCACTCATGTGGTGGTGTTAGAAAGCACAGTCTTCACATGTCACATTAATGGAGCAGTAATTGATGAACATTTTAATTAGCTGGTACTCAAACTCTATGATGTAATAGTTTAGATCATTCAAGAAAGATGCATTTTATGCATTAGTATAGGTTACACCCACGTCTTCCAAAACTGGGCAAGTGGCTGCCTGGCTGGCCAGCAGGCCCTTGGGGAGCCAGGGGTTACAGCCCTCAGTGGGAAACGTGCAAAAGTCGTTCCTAGGGGTACCAAGTGGGGGAGTGTGCCTCTCTGCTTCCGTGCTATCTGGTTTTGATAGCAATGACCATCAGGAGAGCTTCCCTTGTGGGCGAACATGGGCAGAGTACCAAACAAGCAGCGCTGGGCTTATAAACCAGTTTTTTGGGAAGAACCCAAATGCCCTGGTTTTTGGTGTTTGCCACTTTCTTAGTGTAAATATTCCCACCATGGCCAATTCCAAGCTACCAGTGAGCATTCAGAATTCCTAAATACGTAACCATCAGCTCGCTCAAGCCCAAGCCTGTACAAATGGCTCCAGCACATGCTGTCATGTCAAGCCACCATATTTACATGTAGCAAAGAGCGCTAAGTGGCAGGACTGTGGGCCGAGGTCTCCTGCTTTCTACATGGTGAGAGGACCACGGAGAAGGTTGGAACAAAATCCTGCCCTCAGACAGAGATGCGCTGAAGGGCATCAAAACTGGACCACAGCCATGAGTACCGAGAGACCTCTGCCTTGGTGGAGACCTTCCCTCAAGGCACTTTAATGTGCCACGTGGGTTCACCTGAGCTGAGCTTGTAAAAACTATCAGGAATTTCAGGATTTGGCAGATAGAAAGCAAGTAGCAAAACAAGAAACTGAGAAAACACTTTACTTTTCCCTAATAGTGGTGAAAAATTAACTAATTAAAGGAAGAAAGAAGGGAGGGAGGGAGGGAGGGAGGGAGGGAGGAAGGAAGGAAGGAGGGAAGGAAGGAAGGAAGGAAGGAAGGAAGGAAGGAAGGAAGGAAGGAAGGAAGGAAGGAAGGAAGGAAGGTAGATCAGGCGGCACCCAACCTCTGTGCGTGCAGCGTGACAGCGCTTTGACGGCACAGCCTCAATGTCCAAACACTGCAAGAGGCCTTCGCGGCGCTCTGCCCCGAGCCCCTGCAGCCGAATGGGGCCCAGGCTTCCGTGCCCCACCTCTGCGCCCAGGGCTCTTTCCACAGTGTTTGCTGCCAAGCTGATGTTGAGATTTGAATGATGTGAAGTGATGGTTATGCGGGATGGTGGTTTATTCACACTTTCCACAGGTATGGATGAGCCAGGACTCGTTCAGCAAGGACTTGGCACTTGCTCTGCGCCAGGCAACATGATGTGCGCGCTCTGAGGGTCGCGGAGGGGGACTGTGGGGGGTAGGGGTGGTAAAGTGCACAGTGGCGCTGTGCACAGTCTGGCGGAGGAAGCAGATTGTTCGGAAACAACGTAAACATAAGCTTCCACTCGTTAGTATTCTGCAGGAGAAGCACGTGGCGCTATGAGTGTACGTCAGAGGATTGTTTTCTGAGCGTGGGAACCACAGGGCGGTCAGATCAGCTTCCCGGGGAAAGAAAGATAAAGCCACCAGTAACCTGGAGAAGGACTGCAGGGTCCTTGAGGCTCCTGCCCTACCCTCCGCCCGTGGCCTGCCCCCTGGCTGACACGCTTGGAACAGCAGCTGCCACGGTGGCCTTCCCCGGAAGTCGCCCCGCCCCACCTTCCTTCTTCTGATGGGGAGCGCCGCCCACACTGGGTTCTTCCACCGGCCCCGGAGAGGAACCCCACGACGGGAGGATGGCATTCCCCCGCGCGACCCTACTGCGGAGCGCCTCTGGTGGATTCCCTGCAGGAATCCATGTGCTTGCTCCACGGAGTCTGTTTTCCCACCGTCGTCCTAGGCCCCAGGGCTCCTCAGGAACCGACTCCAGAGTCCCCTGCCCAGGGGACACAAGCAGTCCACGGACTCACGCGGAGCCAGGGCGTAGAAGCCAGCTACTGTTCTTTAGAGCCGAATCTTGTTTTTGACCTTCCGTGCGCACCATTCACCCGGCCCCGCGCCAGCGCGCTTTCTGGAGTCTGCGTATTTTAATCCGCACTTAAAGTGCAGAGATTTGTCACGGCGGAGTCTATTCAAAGGAAGGGGCCAAAGGCTTATATAAGAAGGCAAGGCATGGGTTGCTCCTATTACTTGGATGAGGTAGAGACTATTCAGAGTATGAAATATATATTTTAGCTCATAGAAAAAGCTTAATGTGGTTTTTGAAAATGGGAACTTCATTTTTTTCATAATTCCATGCTGCTTCTCAGCTCAGCATATTTAAATTTACTTTGACACATTAGGTGAAGTTCAAGTGGAAATATGTCTTTGGAATTGGGCCACATGGGCTTTGCGGACAGGGAAGGTGGGTTTGGCACGGACTTAGGTTTCAGTGGTAAAACGCATGGATGCAACAGAGACGCTGGAGCGGGTCCCCTTCATCGCTGCGCCCCACCCTCGCCGTCTCCTTAGCTGCGTAGCAGCTGAGCTGGGAGCTCAGGAAAGGGGTCCAGGGAGGTCCCAGTGGCAGCATGAGAAGGTAGCCTTGGAATATGTGTCCTTTAGTCTTTGATTTCTTCTTCTTCCTTTTCTTTTAAGGAAAAGAAAAAGTATCTGTAAAGTTTAACCAGTATCATTAACGTATGCCAAACCCACCGCTTGAGTTGCCTGCAGAGTTTTGCCTTAAATAACTCCACAACCACTGAATAAAAGTCTGTGTAATTGGGAAAACATGAACTGCTGGGCAAATTGAGATTTGGAAACTCATATGTTCTTAATTGAGCCTTTTTTTAAAATGAAATTTTAAAAAGGATTCTCTCCATAATGAGACTTGAATGACTTTCTTGAAAGGCTTACAAGAAGCCTAATTTTACCAAGTGGCTTAATTATTTCAACCATTTCAGCCAGCTCTCTGTTTAATCAAACACAACATCTCGTACTGTTGGTGTGACTGCGAGGCCATGGGCCCCCTTGGGGGCCCCAGACGCTCAGAGCCTTGTGCTTGGATGGTGCAGCCGCACACACTCTGCTCTCTCAAGGTCCATCATTCACCTTTTGAGAAGTCAGTGCGTTTTTTAAAAAAGATTTTATTTATTTCTTTTTAGAGAGAGGGGAAGGAAGGGAGAAAGAGAAGGAGAGACACATCCATGTGCGAGAGTAACATCGATCGGCTGCCTCTCGCATGCACCCTGATGAGGGGGCCTGGCCCTCCCACCCAAGCCTGTGCCCTGACCGGGAACCCAGTGTTTTGCAGGATGACGCCCAACCCACTGAGCCACACCGTCAGGGATGTGCATTTTAATCAGTGCATACAACCTGTATGCCTGCCTTAAAGAGTCTGTGCCCTCGAAGCATAGCTCCTGCTGGCCAGAGCCACCGGGAAAGACCTGGCACAAACGCGGCCAAGTGGCGGAGAGTCCCATGCACAGGACTCCCCGCTTCTTTCTGCGCCCGGAAGCAGCCAGGGGCTGGGAGAGCAGGAGAGGAGGAAACCCCAAAGCTACGCAGAGAAATAGTTGTCAACACCTGTGGAGCTGGTCACCAGCACTGCCCAGCCCCTGCATGTGTCCTGTTGCCCACAGAGGGCAAAGTAAGAGGTCTCAGGACCGCCAACCCAGGTGACTTGTCAGCCGCCCTCTCAGTGGACAAGCTGATTCAGACCACGTGCTTTTGAGCACATTCTCCTTTCCGAGACAAAGGCTAGTCCTCCAGCGCAGCCTCTCCAGGCCTGTCCACGCCCCCGTCCTGGGCTGGCTTCTCTGTCCTGGAGGCGGAGACGCTCGGCGCTCCTTTGAAGCTCCAGAGTCAATGCTAGCCCGTGTGGTGCACCCGCGACGTTGTGGTCATGTTCCTTCACTGAGGACATCAGCCTCCGGCTGGGGTCACCCTCCCTCTGCCGACAATCATTCCCGGTCACGCAGCCTGCTTTTTCACACGCAGGCCAGGGGGACGCATGAAGTTAAAATGTGATTTCTGTTGCGCATGTTTTGCTGCTGCAGCTTCTCCCTCTTGCGCTGTGGACCTCGAGCTGGGACAGGAGAGGAGCATTGCATCCAGGGACAGAACCCCCCATGTCTCATGGGGCAGAACCCCCCCTGATGCCATAGGGAGCACAATCTCCCTCAGTCACTTATGTGCCCGATACGCCCCTTCTGCTCCCATTGGCCGCATGTCTGTGCTGTTGGTTGTATTATTTTGAAAAGTTGTTAGAAAATGAGAAAGTTCAGGATATGAAGATATAGGAAGAAATAGGAAGAATTAGCAGTGATGTACACATTAGTTAAAAAAAGAAAAAGGAATCAAATTCTGCCACAGAGTAGGGGCTCGGTAGTTTGGGAGTTGGTTTCATGACATAGAACGTAAACAAGTGTCTCTTTCAAAAAGTGTTTTCTTTCGATTTCAGGTACTATTTTAAGGTTCAAGCCAAGAACCCTCATGGCTACGGCCCCATTAGCCCCTCCGTCTCCTTTGTTACGGAATCAGGTACAGCTGGCTCGGCCTCTTTTTTTTTATTTTTCCTTTTCTCAAAAACAAATAATTTGGAAGAATGACTACAATAGAATAAAAACTGAAGAAGTAAATTCCTCACTTCTCTATTTAATGAAGTCACATTAGATATCGCTTTATAAAATAAACATTATTTTCTTTCTGCTAGGGAAAAACTTGGATAATAATATCGAAAGTAGTCGTTATTGGAATTGCCTGGAAGGTGGCAAAGTCAAATTCCAATGAGAGGGGGGAAATCTAATTTTTGACCATGTGGGGAAGATAATTTGGAATCTAGCTGGAGGAGAATTAGTTGCAGAGATTTTTTTTTTTTTTAATTGCAAACAGCTGAAGAGCAGAAATGTCCTGAGGCCTGAGAGGCAGTTGCTTCTAACAATCCTTTAAGTCTCTAAGATGCTGCTTTTACTAGGAGATGAGATGGCTCTCCTTACTGTGGAGAGTTCAATGGAAATACTACGCAGTCTTACAGGCAACAGCGCTCAGAGGAGGGCCCTGTGTGCTGGTGGGCAGCGCTCCACGGCCCCCTAAGCACACATGCCTATGCGCGTGGCCTGAGGCAGCACACGGAGCTGGCCCTGAGGCAGTTCCCAGGGGGCAGCCCCTGCCTGGGGCGAGCCCAGCGGGAGAGCTGGGAGCTGAGGCTCGAAGCCAAGCCAGCTTCGGAAGCCCCGCTGAGCCACTCCACACTGCGGCGGAAACCCAAGCCTCTGTTCGCTTATATTATTTCCTACCTGTAGCTTGATCCTAGGACAGTGGCCATTAGAAGATATTTTTCAGTGTAATGACTTGAAATCTATTGAATCACGTATGTGGAACAAAATTAAATCTTTTGTGAGCATGTGCTTCATACTGGAAATGGAGGCAAATGACCTCAAAAGCATTTTCACCTATTTCATCTAAGAAGTGTGTTTGTCATTAGTAGTTAAGATAATTAAGGAGTAAGAGAAAACCATTATCTGTGGTTACTGTGCTAAAGCTTGGAAGGTGTCTATGTTTATGGTTGCATTTCCTGAAGAAAAATGGACTTTTGGCAACTATCGGAATTAACAGGATAAAAATCTATAGGAAGAAAACCACATAATTTAGGTTTAAACATCTAGCAAGAAACTGAGGTCCAAAATCTGAGAGTAGGAAGATACAAATGTAGTTCATTCTCTCTTATTCCACTGCACGGTGGTGCCAAAATTAGTTTATCCATTCACCTGTTGATGGATATTGGGTTGTTTCTGCTTTTTGAGTATGAACAAGAAAACTGTTTTGAACATTCATGTGTAAGTGTCTGTATGGACATGTTTTAATTTCTCTTGGGTAAATACTCAGGAGTACAATGGATGGATTATATAGTAGATGCACGTTTACCTTTCCAAGAATCCACCAAACTGTTTTCCCAAGAGGGACACATTTTAAAACATAATGAGTATTCAATTATTTTGTAGTACCTAATGTCAAAATATTATTTTCAGAGACCTACAGCAGCTCTATAAGTAAGGAAGTATTTCTCAAAAGGAAAAGCTTAGAAAATGAAAAGTAAAGAAAAATGTTGTCATCTCTCAAATAAACCTTACATTTTTCTTTACCTACTCTGGTGTGGTTCAGCCTTTGAATTAGAATAAACCTTTCAACAATTGCATGATTGTGAAGTATGATAATGAAGTCAATTATTTCTCTTTTATTCTACAGACAATCCTCTGCTTGTTGTGAGGCCACCGGGTATGTTTTCCTCTTGATAAACTTGATATTTTAGCAATGAAGTTGAAGAGTGAATATGAATTTATTACAAGTAGACATGCTGGATCATTTTTGCATTTTCGTAATTTTATGACAACTTGTATGGTTTCTTTCCACCCTTCACCCTAATCCCGGGAAGGGAATGATCTGGGAATGTTTTAATATGGCCATAGCAGCCAATATCTATAAGAATCACTATGGGTGGCCAACATCTATGAGAATGAATAAGTTTACTTGCATTCAACTCCCTTTGAATATTTTAAATTGCTGAAAAGATAGCAAAATGCATTAAATATACAACAAACTTTTACTTAAAAAAAACCGCAAACCCTGAGAAAGCTCTATTGCTTCAGTTGAGGACAGGTCCTGTGAGTGAAGAGAACAGCAGGAACCAAAGCTGAGGGACTTTGTTTGGTGGGGGCGGGGGTTTGGACGAAACACCGTAGGGGATCAAATTTGCCATTATAGCTTATTTTCCTTGAGCTTAAAGCCTTTTTCTTCCTCTGAGAGTCCCTTAACTATGTTCCGGTAAAAGGAACTCCCCAATTGTGTTTTGGTCCTGAGAGAGAAGAGGAAAGAGAAAGGGGTGCCCTTTGGGAGGCGGGAAAACTTGGCTCAGAAAAGCCCTGAGAAAAGAGGAAGGCCCAGCAAATAGGTCAGATTTTCTGGTACTTTGTGTGAGAATAAACACTTGGTGTGCTCTTTCTTGTTAAGGCGGTGAGCCCATCTGGATCCCATTTGCCTTTAAACATGAGCCTGACTACACGGACTGCCGCGGCCGGCAGTACGTGAAGCGGACGTGGTATAAAAAGTTTGTGGGAGTCATTCTTTGTAACTCACTGCGGTATAAGATCTACCTCAGCGACAACTTGAAAGGTAGGCCTTTGAGGATGGTTGGCTGTGGGAGGGGATGCCAAAATTCGATTTTATGAGATACTAACTCGACATACCAGGTGTGTAAGAATGTATTTAGGTCTGGCTCACCTACAAACCGGTCCTGCAGGCTCTATTTTAGGGTGACTAGTTTTCATGTTGGCACAGAAATATATATTTTAAATCTACTACACTTTAGGAATGAAATCCAAAATTCTTTTTACAAATTTAAAGGACAATAATTTTTGCCAATAATTCAACAATAATAGGTATGAGTATAAGCTGGTAGCATTGAGGAAAACATCCCCTTCATTCCCTGCCATTGGCATAGCTTTACAGGAAAAAGAAGGTGGATGGTGAAATGTACATCTGCAGTACTATTTGTCCTGTGTCCAAATAAAAATTACATTGTTTTCATCATGGGTGTGGACTTAAACAAAGAATAATACACACACTTTGAACTACTAACATTTCAAAATGCCTTTGGGACCCACCTGGCTTTGACTCACCCACCTACACAGATCTGTTTTAGTTTCAAAATTTGTACAACTTTTCATTTTTTTTTCAGTTTACCCTCAGCTGGTCTATACTTTGCCATGGGATGTTTTGTTGCTGTTGTTTGGTTTTTTCCTTGCCAGCTGTATCGTTCTAGGACAATGTCGGGACGCAGTCTCCCTCATCCCGCGCTCGGGCGGTTTCTCCCTGTCTCCGCCTCTCCCAGCGCCCCCCCTCTACCCCTGTCTGTTTGTTTCTGCTCTTCTTCCGCTCACCCCCCACCTCCTCGCTGCCCTTGTCCTCCCGCCACTTGGAATTCCTAACAGAGGTTGCACAGCCTTCCCCGGCGTCCCCTGCTCAGAAAACCCACTTTGCCCTACTGTGCAGCTGCGGTTCAGCACCGCGGACAGTGTCCCCGCCGCCGGACGGACGCTCTACTAGTTAGACGTGAAACTAGTTCTTCCGTTTTTTCATAGACCTTCGCACCTTTCATTATTCACAATGCATTCTCTGACGAGCTTAGTTTCATCTGTTCTTTTTTTTAAACCAAGGACTAGAAAGGTCTGCTTTCATGGGCTGAAACTGCCTGTAATGTTAGTACAATGGTTTTCATTTAATGAACACCTGTGAAGTGTTTAGCACACAGGACGTCTCTGAGGCCTACGGACACTTAACAGATTGGTGCCATCACCGCTGTTTTTCAAACGTAGAAAGCGTGACATGGAGATTAAGGAGTGCACCCCATTCACACAGTCCCCAAAGCCTGTGCAAGCTCTTAAACCAGCTGCGGCTTTTTTTGAGCAGTCACTGATTGTCTTACTCCTTCACGCAGACACATTCTACAGCATTGGGGACAGCTGGGGACGAGGCGAAGACCACTGCCAGTTTGTGGATTCGCACCTGGATGGCAGAACCGGGCCTCAGTCCTACACAGAGGCCCTCCCTCCCATTCAAGGTAATGAGAACGAAGATCTGACACATTGCTCTGGGGGTGAGGGAGCAGGGTTGATACGAGGGGAAAACTCCATGCCTTTGCCTTACCTGAAGACGCGTTGGCCGCATTTCAGATCATGAAAATAAAAAATCAAAAAATACTCCTACCACATGCTGGAATTGGGTGAGCCTAGGGAAGGTAGGGATACAATGGAGTATAAGGCCTTATCCCTACTTTCCATAACCAGAAAGAGAAGACAGATCTGTTTTAGTGTGTTTCTCTGACTGGGGTCATGGTTTTGGCTCTGAAGGAAGGTGCTGGTTAGTCAGTACACCTGCTGGAGGAATGGCAGGCGGTCTCCCATCCAGCAAGTCAACAGCGCCAAAGGGTGAGAGCTGTTGTTGAGTTGCCAAAAATAGTTTTATGAGGAGGTTGGGACATCACCTGTACTCCAAGGGATCGGTGCTCAGAAATGCCACAGCACTCTAGAAGATCTAAGGGTCTTCCAGAGACTCCATGAAGTAAACCTTGGGGAGCCTTGGGGTCTGGGGCACATCGCAAGGCCCTGAGGTCTGTGGGGACAGGGTGGGTATCGTGCCCTGTGGTGAGAGCTCCACAGTGATGGGTGAGGCCACTTTCTCTTGTGGAGAGATAGAGGGAGGGAGGGAGGAAGGGTGCCGATGAATGCTTTCCTGCAGGTGTCCCACACGGGCGGGGCCTGGATTACCCGCACAAATCATGCTCCGGATAAGCCTCAGAGGTCACTGTGACCCCACCCAAAAATGGTTGTTTATTTGGAAGCCACGTGGTTCATAAGACCAAGTTGTCCGAGGTCTTCTGTCTGAAGGAGGTTGTAAGGATGAGGATTTTTCCTGTCTGTTTGGGCATTTATGATGCTATGATTCTAGTGCCAATTCCAAGTGGGGGCTTCCCCCGCACACCACCAAGCAATTCTTCGACACCAGCTGGGTGTCCTGCAGTTCAACTCCATTCTCACACCATCTCCCTGGAGCAGCAGCAGACCCCGCGGGGTCATGGCTCAGGCCACAGGAGGGCCTCTCCTCACCCGCGTCGGGTGCCGGGCACCAGTCCAGGCTCTCCTCTGTGCCTCTGACCAATGGCTGTAGGTCCGAGGTTCCTGAAACCTCCTCTTCGGGTTTGGTTAACTTGCTAGATGGGCTCACAGAACTCAGAGAAACATTTTACTTACCAGATTACCAGTCTGTTATAAAAGGATAGAACTCAGGAGCAGGCAGATGGAAGAGATGCGTGGGCGAGGTATGTGGGAAAGGGTATGGAGCTCACGGGCCTGCTCCAGGCGCGCTGCTCCCCCAAATCTCCATGGGATCGCCAACCTGGAACTCTCGGAACCCTGCCCTTTGGGGGTTATGGAGGCTTTGTTACCAAGGCATGATGGATGAAATCATTGGTCATTGATGGCTAAACTCATCCTTCCTTCCCCAGAGTTTGGGGGAGGGGGGTCAGACTGCAAGTTCCAACCCTCTTATGATACAGTTCTTCTGGTGACAGCCCCTGTGGTGGGGGGCTTTTCAAATGTCACCGTATTAACATCAACTCAGGTGTGGTCAAAAGGGGTTTGCTGCGAATACCAGCACACCTGTACTGATTGATCTTGTCACGTAGGAAATCCCAAGGATTTTAGGAGCTCTGTATCAGGGATGGGGATGAAGACCAAATACCTATTTCTTATTATAAATTTTAATATCACCAATGCATTTGTCTCTCCCTCTCTTTCCTTCTATCCGTCCAGGCTACTATCGCCAGTATCGCCAGGAGCCTGTCAGCTTTGGCAAAATTGGCTTTGGGACCCCCTATTACTACGTGGGCTGGTACGAGTGTGGGGTCGCCATCCCAGGAAAGTGGTAACCATGGGGTGAGCATCCTGAAAGCTTGCCCTGCCCAGCCCCCCTGGTGAACCTGGACGAGGGACCACACGGGAAAAGGAAGACTGTGTCCCAAGCCCCTCTGCCCCGGTGTCAACAAGGGCACAAGACAGACACTGGATACTTGGGGCATCTTCAGTCTGGACCTCAGCCTCACTTCTGGGCCTGGACCGCGCGCAGGATTCACCATTGCTGTTCACTGTGCTTCTCCACTCGTTTTGCTTGTGATAGCGCCTCCCAGAGGCCGCCGAAGCCCGCAGCGGCAGGGGATGCCCACCGAGTCTGGGCGATTTCCACGCTCCTTAGGTACAGCATGCGGACGCCTCGCATCTCCCGGGATCAGCAGGGGCTGGCTTCATGGAATGCCACACGCTTTCTCTTTTCTCACTGGACTCCTCCCAGGCTAGCTCACTTTAAGCTTTGGGTCTTTTTCTATGCAATAGAACTGAATTACTAAAATCACCACCAAAGGAAATATATCCTGCTTAAGATTTATCCCATGGACTTACCCACTGCTAGACCAAATGTATCAACTCTTCTTTGTAAATTCTCATTTTGAGATATATATATATGTATATATGCATATACATACCCGCACTTCTCTGCAAGAATGTTGATTAAAATCACTAAATTTGTACCTGTTCACCAGAAAAGTGTATGTCAGACTTTTTGGAGTGGAGGTGCTATTTGTTAACGTCTTTCTGAAGGGCCCACAGCATGTGTTTTCTCGGGCGATCAGACAGCAATGGGACGTGTCGCCTTCTTCCTGTGTGTGCCGCTGACCGTGGGGTGCTAGGGACGTTGCCACATGGACGGCAGACCAGTTGCAAATGACCAATTGCAAATCGAGTGCCTTCTACCTTTGCATACCTGTGTGAAAAATGTGCTACTTGCCTCTGTGGGGACAGATCCAGTATGATCTCAGATTAATTTTAGATTATAAGGCCTGACTTGAAAATCCAGTCTTTAAAAAAAAACAACTCCTTTTCCCTTTCCTGCCTATCTCAGTATCTACTCCTCGAAACAGAAGTGTCTCACCCCTCTTCGCTGCAGCACAGGAGGGTTTATTTAAGATGTTATCCTAATTCTTTTGTAAACACAGTGTCCGTTCGTGTGTGTGGCTTCTCTGTGTCACCCGACAGCTCTGCAGGGGTAGGCTCGGCCTCCTCCCATAAAGGGCTCCATGAGAGAGGAGCAGGATGGGGTGGGGGCTGGGGCCAAGGCTTTCCTGGGGCCCACAGGCGTTACCACTCATGCAGAGGAAGTCACGGCAGGACACAGTCCCAGCTCCTGGGGTCAGCCATTGTCAGGCCTGGTGCTGTGTTGAGGTGAAGCCTGATGTATCCTGTGGACTTGAGGACGGAACTTCCCAGGAAGCAAGGGACAACGTGGCAGGTCTTTGTGGTGGGGCTGTGACTGCCGGCAGGTCCCTCGGCTTCCGCCACCCACTTTGTGCAGAGAACAGCAGTGAAGACCATGAGAGCATTCTGACGACCTGGGAGAACACCAGGATTCCTTAGGGCACAGACTGGACACCCAGTTCACATGCCACTCGTGTTTTCATTTGCAAAGTAGGACAGGAATCTTTAGCAGCTTTTGGAGCTCTTGTACATGAAAGGGGAATTATTCATTTCTTTTAAAGGATATCTAAAGAATACCTTATTTTTCACTCTATTAATACTCAACATACTTAAAAATGCCAAGCCAAAGATAAGATCTTTTAATATAAATGAAGTTTCCTCATAAGCACGTAACTTGCTCCCTTTTGTTCTCCTACCTGCTCCTCCAAACTCCTCTCTGGTTTCAGGGTCCACCGGTTGGCCGTCGGAGAGGAGAAAGAGAGGCCAGGAGGAGAGGCCTGGGGGAGAGGCCAGCAGGGCGCAATGTCCTGAATGCCTTTCCTCGGTGTAAATAACTCGCTAGCATGTGCATGAGGAGAGTCGTTTGGTCTGATCCACAAACCCCCTTGGTCCCGGGCCTCCTTTGGAAAAGATAGAGATTAGACCAGCGCAGAGGAGCAGTGAGCTCTCTCTCCTGTACAACTCACACTTTTCCTAACTACATGGCGCATTCTGTGCTCATTTCAGAGAGGAAAGGACATGTTCCCTCTGAAGGATTTCATGTTAATTTCACAGAAGTGCAAAGAGCTCACTGACATTCTTTTGTGAAATTATTTTCAAGCCCTGCTTGGGTTCTTGGACTGTATTTGATTATAGAAATCTGAACTTTTGTTAAAAATAAGTGTTTCCAAGTTTTAATGGAAATCACTACAAACCCCAGATGATAGAGCAGCCAAAATAAAAACATGGACACCAAGCAAGCATAGGTGGCATCATTACCAACATCCTGCCCCAACGCAGTCACATCCCAGCTCAGCTGAGTCCTCAGTGGTCACCTCCAGCTGCCAGCACCATGTGAAGTTGGGGAGCCAGGCTTTAGGAACGCCATGGGCCCGAGAACTGCTTCGTACCCAGTTAGGAGGACAGTAACGGGTTTCCTCAAGGAGCCTCCTTCTGTTTCAAAGGCTCCAAAGAAGAAGAGTATTCACCAGCTCTGGAGATCAGAAGTAGACAGAAGTGGGAATTAAAGGGAAGAAATGACTCGATATGATGAAGAGTTTTTGTTCAACTGTCATGCGAGTCTCCTTGGAAAACAGTGAGGTGTTTGTCTGTAAAGGGCCTGAGACCCACCTGGAAATGTCGGAATCGCCAGGGGAGGCCCCTGCCCTGTTTCCACATGGCCTGTGGGCTCAGAGTGATTTCTGTGAATTTAAAGGATTGTAAACTAAACAAAGAGACAAGCAAGAAATGCAGTAATATTCTACAGAAGCCTCATGTGGCTCACAAGGCCTGACATATCTATGGCCTTACCCCATAAGGAAAAGTTTGTGTGGCCTTGGGCTAGAGCTTTCCTGAGGCCCAAAGAAGGCGTAAGCAAAGTATCAACTCTCACCTCCTACTTAGTAGATGTTTGTTTTCTCTTACTTGAGTTCATTTGTTTTCCAACCAGTGACCCCGAACTCCCTGTTGGGCTGGATTCTGAAGCCTGAGTTCCCACTGGGCAGGCCCTTCGCTTGCACTGTGGTCTCAGAGGCCTTCATGCTCTTCAGGCGGCTTCATGCACATTTAATGTCACCATTCAGTGAAAACATGATTTCCAGGTCTCACCAGATGAGTTTTGACTCATTTTTTTCCTCCTTTTGACCTATTCAGGCCACACGTCTGGGTAGTTCACCAGGGTGGGGAATTTGTGCAGGTGAATGGAATTAGAACGTGCTTTCGTCTGTCGGCATGGGACACAGGTCTGAGCCACGACACACAAACGTAAAGCAACTCTACCCATAGAATCAGCCCATGTTTCTGTAACACCTGACGCACTGTAGATGCCTTAAAACCATCTCTTGGAGAGGCAACGACTTCGCCACTGGAGGTAAAAGGGGAGTTTAAGAAGTAAAATCTCTCTCCAATCCTGCCATGTCCCAATTCTCCGATTAGGCTCCACTCATTGAAATTGCGTGAGAACCCAGAGCGCACCTATTGTGAAGGGAGGTGTGCTTTTCAATCTTAGTTGTAAGATTATTAATGTACAACATTTAAAAATCATAATGAGAGCTAAGCACTCAAGGATTCATGACAAAAGTGAAATAAAATTAATATAGAAATGGAAGGTGACAAATTACACACACACACACACACACACACACACACACATACACACACACAAATTCTGGGTCCAAATTGGGAGAACAGTACCCTCTCAAGCAGAAGTTGTTTGTTGGCCAAGAAGAGCCATGCCCGGAGGGTCAAGGGTTTAGTACGGTCGGCCACACCACCTCAGGACAGGAAGTGATGTGTGGGAGGGGCTGTTGGGACCTGGGGTGACCAGTGCCTGGTACCCTGCATGGCTCAGAGACTCATTTCCTACAACGGCTCTTTCTCCCTTTTGAAAGATTCTTCCCCAATATTCAGACATACTCTAGTCTTTCTCATCTAAAAAAAAAATTATTTTTAATTTAAATTTAAAAATGTGTTTTCATCACCCAGGTCCCCCTTCAACTATTCCCATCACACTCTCCTTTGAACTGAGATCCTGAGTTAGTCACCTCTGTTCCACCTCCCCGCCCCCCTCCTCGACCCCCAGTGTTCCTCACACCCCCGCCCCCGGCACCTGTGACCTCTGCGTCACACTTGGCTCTCCAGGCCCCATCTGTCCTGGCAGCTAAATCCAGCGGCCACAGGTCAGTCTTCTTCTGTCTGACCTTGGGCAGCCCTGGACAGCATGTCCAGCTTGGGCCCTGGGGACCCCTCTCCTGCCTGGGTGCCCCCTCAGTTCCCAGGCGGTAGCCAGGCCTTCTCACGCCGCACGGAAGGGATTTGGTGTTTCTGGGACAGACCTGACGGCCGCCCTCTCCCCAGCTTCTCTTTCAAAAGCCCAGACCCAGTAGAGCAGCCCCTCGCTGTGGGCAGGGAGCAGGCTGCCTGGGTCACCCGGAGACCGCAGCATCAGGAATAACGGCTGGCATGTATTTTGGATTCAGCTGACATTTGCTGAGTGAACGAGAGGAGAGGTGACTTGTCACTCGTGCTGCACCCACGGCCCCGGCATCTGGGCCCCTGAAGGCAAACACCTTCTTGCCCCAGGCCCTGTTTGTGTGTTGGGGGCGGGGTGGGCTGGGGGATCGGGCTCGGGTTGGGGCGAGCTGGGAGCCTCCATGCGCCCAGGCCCTGCCTCGTCGCCGGCTCGCGGGGTCCCCCTGTCTCAGGCACCCAGGGCCGCAGGGCCTGCTCCTCCTAGAACCCCCACTGGCATCCGCCTGCCTGGGGAAAGCGTCTCCTCTGCACCGCCCACGCGTGGAGTGTCTTCCTGGAACTCGGCAGCAACCCCCACAGCGCCCCCCCGCCCCCGCCCCCGCCCTACCTCCAATCACCTCTCCTCGTGGAGCCTGGGGGGCCAGAGCAGGGAGGAGGGAGCAGACTCCAGGGCCCTGGGAGCCGGTCCAGCGCGCGGGGGCGAGGACCTCGCCGGGGGCCGCGCAGCCCTGCGGGCAGGGAGCCGGGCTTCCTCCTCCTCCCGCTTCCTTGTGCCTTCCCTCCTCTTTCCTGCAGGTGGGCGCCATCGCCCAGCCCCCCGGGAGCCAGGTGAGGGGGGTGAAGCAGGTCGGCCCGTGCGGCAGAGAGGGAGGCGCAGGAAGGAACAGAGTGAACCCGGAGAGACACCCGCCAGCTCTGGGAAGCAATGGCGCCTTATCACGGCCGCCTGCTACTCTCCGCGCAGACGGCAGGCAGCGTGGGCGAGCGCGAGAGAAGGGCCCTTTGCAGAGAGCCCGTCTCAAGAGAAAGGGCCTGGAAACGCCCTTCTGTCCCGGGGCAGGTGGGCGCTTTAAAGGGCACTTAGTTTAAGTCGCCTTACAATTAAACGGAGGCCCGAAGCCCGACATAGGCGGCCAGTCAGGCACCTGGTTTCAGCCCCTGCCCGCCAGGCCCGCGGGGAGGCCGGGCCGCTCCTCTCCCGCCGACGTCGTCCTCCCTGGAGGCCATTCCCTGGGGAACCCGATGAGACGCGAGCTCACGCCCAACCCCGACCTGTCGGGCGGAGGGCGCCTGCCCTGGCCGCGTTCAAACCCCTTTGCCTCCTCCGCCCCCTCCGGGCAAAT